CATTCTCAACACGTTATCAAACAGGTTGGAATGTCACAAAGTGCCACACCTGCCACGCAAAACGACATGACAACCTGCTTGGAAACCTTCGAAAAGGAAATGTTTTGCAGCTTCCCCCATAGACACGGCGACGCCACAGGAAAACCAGAGACTCGAGACGAGACACGTGGGTGCAAGAAAACGAGCATTTCGTGCCAGACCTCCTCCAATTTTGACATTTTCGACACGTTATCAACCAGGTTGGAATGTCACAAAGTGTCACGCCTGCCACGCAAAACGACATGACAACCTGCTTGGAAACCTTCGAAAAGGAGATGTTTTGCAGCTTCCCCCATAGACACGGCGAGGCCACGGGAAAACCAGAGACGCGAGACGAGACAGGTGGAAGCACCAAAACGAGCATTTCGTGCGAGACTTCCTCCAATTTTCACACTTTGTAGCTTCAAAATCGACGTTTTCCTACGAGTTTCCCTTAGAACCTGAAAATTTGCAACCTCAAAATCGATGTTTCGTGCGAGGCCTCCGTCAATTTTCAGCACATCGCACAAAACGCCACGCCTGCCACGGAATTTGCACCTTGTCGCCACTTGACGCAGCCCTGCCAATGCGATTTGCAAAAAACACGCAACACGACACGTCTAAAGTGCTGCGCCTGCCACGAAAAATGACGATGGACACGTCCAAAGTGCTGCGCCTGCCACGAAAACTGCAACACATTTTCTGAAAACGTCACAAAAGTATTGCGCCTGCCACGCAAAACGACTTTCGACACGTTGCAGAACACGTCTGAATGTCACGAAGTGCCACGCCTGCCACGCGAAACGAAGCAACGACGCATTGGAAACCTCCAAAAATGACCACCTCTGCAGAACTTCCCATAGGCACGGCCATACGGAGTTCGTACGAAGGGATGCGGACGGTTGCGGACGGTTGCGACCACAAACGCAACGTCGAGCGAACACAACCTCAACCCCCAAACCCCCAGAGTGAAACGGGAACCCTTGCTACGCATTTGGGAAAAAAAACAAAAAAAAGACAATAATATATTTGAAAAAAACACAAAAAATAAAATCCAAAAAAAATAAAATTAAAAAAAAAAAACTAAATTCTCAAAAAAAAATAAAATCAAAAAAAAAACAAAAAAAATAAAATCCCAAAAAAAAATAAAATCCCAAAAAAAAAATATAAAATCCCAAAAATGAAATAAATGCCAAAAAAAAGTTCTTTTATCTATTTTGGGAAAAACTTGTAGGTACTTTTTTCTTTCCACCAGCAGTGAAACCACATTTTGAGCATGAAAATAGGGACAAAAAATGCATATGTTGTCTATGTTTTTATATTCAAAACTAGCTTTTGGGTCTGAACTAAAGAAAAAAATACATACAAGTTTTCCCGAAATGGTGAAAAGAACTTTTTTTTTGGGCATTTATTTCATTTTTGAGATTTTTTTGGGGGGGGATTTTATTTTTTGGGGGATTTTATTTTTTTTTGGTGACTTTTTTTTGGGGATTTTATTTTTTGGGGGGGATTTTATTTTTTTTTGGTTTTAAAATATTTTTTGTTTTTTTCAAATATATTATTGTCTTTTTTTTGGGTTTTTTCCCGGATGCGTAGCAAGGGTTCCCGTTTCACTCTGGGGGTCTGGGGGTTGAGGTTGTGTTCGCTCGACGTTGCGTTTGTGGTCGCAACCGTCCGCAACCGTCCGCAACCCTTCGTACGAACTCCGTATGGCCGTGCCTATGGGAAGTTCTGCAGAGGTGGTCATTTTTGGAGGTTTCCAATGCGTCGTTGCTTCGTTTCGCGTGGCAGGCGTGGCACTTCGTGACATTCAGACGTGTTTTGTAATTGTAACGTGTCAAAAGTCGTTTTCTGTGGCAGGCGCAATACTTTTGCGACGTTTTCAGAAGATGTGTTGCATTTTTCGTGGCAGGCGCAGCACTTTGGACGTGTCCATCGTCATTTTTCGTGGCAGGCGCAGCACTTTAGACGTGTCCTGTTGCGTGTTTTTTGTAAATCGCATTGGCAGGGCTGCGTCAAGTGGCGGCAAGGTGCAAATTCCGTGGCAGGCGTGGCATTTTCTGACATGTGCTGAAAATTGACGGAAGCCTCGCACGAAACATCGATTTTGAGGTTGCAAATTTTCAGGTTCTAAGGAAAACTCGTAGGAAAACGTCGATTTTGAAGCTACAAAGTGTGAAAAGTGGAGGAAGTCTCGCACGAAATGCTCGTTTTGATGCTCCCACCTGTCTCGTCTCGCGTCATTGGTTTTATGGTGGCTTCGCCGTGTCAATGGGGGAAGCTGCAAAACTTGTCCTTTTGTCATGTTGCCAACTGTGAAAAAATTGGAGGAAGTCTCGTAGGAAATGCTGGTTTTTCTGCATCCACGTGTCTTGTCTGGAGTCGCTGGTTTTCCTGTGGCGTCGCCGTGTCTATGGGGGAAGCTGGAAAACCTCTCCTATTCGAATGTGTCCAAGCAGGTTGTCCTGTCGTTTTGCGTGGCAGGCGTGGCACTTTGTGACATTCCAAGCTGTTTGATAACGTGACGAAAATATCAAAATTGAAGGAAGTCTCGCACGAAATGCTCGTTTTTCTGCACCTACGTCTCTCGTCTCGAGTCTCTGGTTTTCCTGTGGCGTCGGCGTGTCTATGGGGGAAGCTCCGCACTCCACACTCTACACTTTACACTCCACAATTTACACTTTAGACTCCACACTCTACACTTTACACTCCACACTTTGCACTTTACACTCCTCACTCCTCACCTGAGACTTTACACTCCACACTCCACACTTTACACTGCACTCTACACTTTCCACTCCTCGCTCCTCACTCTACACTTTACACTCCACACTTTACACTCCACACTCCACACACTTTACCCACACACTAAACTCCGCCATCTAACACTCCACACTTTCTTTTACACTCCCACTCCACACTCTACAACACCACAACTCTACGGCGTTCCACTCCACACTCCCAACCCACACTCTACTGATACCACACTCCACACTTTACACTCCACACTCCACACTTTACACTCCACACTCCACACTTTACACTCCTCACTCCACACCCCATGCTTTACACTCCTCACTCCGCACTTTACACTCCACACTTCACACTCCACACTTTCCACTCAACACTCCACACTCCACACTTTACACTCCACACTCCACACTTTACACTCCTCACTCCACACTTTACACTCCACACTTTACACTCCACACTCCACACTCCACACTCTACACTTTACACTCTACACTATACACTCCACACTCCACACTCTACACTTTACACTCTACACTATACACTCTACACTCCACACTTTACACTTTACACTCCACGCTTTCCACTTTACACTCCACGCTTTCCACTTTACACTCCTCACTCCACACTTTACACTCCACACTCCACACACTCTCTCACGTACTTCAAACTCCACACTTTACACTCCACACTTTACACTCCTCACTTTACACTCCGCACTCCACACTTTGCACTTTACACTCCTCACTCCACACTCTACACTCTACACACCACACTCCACACTCTACACTCCACACTCTACACTTTACACTCCATACTCCACACTCTACACTTTACACTCCATACTCCACACTCTACACACTCTACACTCCCCACTCCACACTTTACACTCCACACTCCTTACTTCACACTCCACACTCCACACGCTACACTTTCCACTCCACACTGCAGACTGGTAATAACAAGGGAAACATGTACAAGACTGTTCAAATAAACTATTGCAGAGAGGTATTGTGTGTCACTGCATAACCATGTGTTTTGACATCTGTACCATTAACATACGTGTGAGCATCCGGGTTCGTGGGCTTCATCTTGTTTTATTTGTTGTTTCCCATTTTCTTTTGGAAATTATTTCTTTGTTTTGTAAATTATTTTTCCCTTTAATTGTATTTTGTTTTTTTATTTAATCCATTTATTTATTCTTTTAATTTCATTTAGCTTTTTTTTTGGTAGCTTTTTTTTGTTTGAGAAGGGGGGGTTAGTTTACATGTTCAAAACAAAAAATATTTGTTTCAATGTAAAGTTTGATTCCATGCTTGACACCAAATCTTTATAGCTAGTAGATTCTTGCATCTGCATCAATTAACGCCAAAAAATAAAAATACATCACATCGATTTCCAGAACCTATATTCCATTATCGCATATACCCATAGATAAATACCAAAAACCACCTGAACCGCATATAGGTTGTGCAAGTTAGCATGTTACGCTACATATGTACGTACTGCCACGCCACGCATGGGGTGGGGTTTAAAGGCAAGAACGTACATGTTGCGCTGCGTATGTACGTGCTGCTACGTCACGCATTGGGAGGGCTTCGGGCGCGGTGGGGCAAAAACTCTCATGTTACGCTGCCTCTGTATGTGTTGCTACGTCACGCATGGGGTGGGGTGTGGGGAAATAACTTTCATGCTGCGCTGCTTATGTACGTGCAAACTATAGACCGTGTGTGGCTCAATCTCAAGTCTAGGTCGCCTCCAAAACTGCGAGTAGTTGAGAAGAAGGCCGGCCATCACTTTTTGAACAAAGGTGTCAATCGTATGATTCAACATATTTGGTGGCAACCACAAATGGGTACCAAACAGAGCGATAGACTTCTCCATCACAGAGTTCTCCAAAAAACGGAGCATATCTCCGGCGTCCTCGTGAGAAGGAGGCCCGCCTCGAACGTCGCTTTTTTCTCTGCACGATTTGGCGTCTCGAAGCTTCGACGCTTCCTTTTCACTGCTTTCAGAAGCCTTGAGCAACAAGACAAACAGTTGGGTAGGCAAGCATGAGCCGTGCATCTTTAAAACCTGTGGCAAAAGTGTGGCATAGACGGCATAGACATCATAAAGTATAAAAGCAACTAAAATCATCTAGGAAACAAGCACAAAGCATGGTGTTTGAAACAGCCAGCCCCACAATGCAAAACCTATAGGACCTATAGATTTCACAACACAAAGCACAGTCAAGCTATGCAGCAAACCACAGCCAGCAGACCCAGCACTGCCCACTTGAAACCTCTGAGGCTTCGTAGAGACACGACGAAGCACCCAGTTCTTCCCCCAGCGTCGGGGTCGTCGTCGATGCCTGGCACACAACGATCCGCCGAAGAAATCCCTCAGGGCCAAGGAATGGGACAGCGAATAAAGTGATGGAAAAACTGTTCAGAATGGCGCCCGATTCCTTTGTTTTGGAACTTGACAAAACATGACATCGCTGGGCCATGGCAGCGCCTTGAAGTCTTGCCACCTGGCCACTGGGTGCGCGCCACGTTTCGCTCAGCAGGGTCCAAACTCTTCAGCGCCGACCTCAAGTCGAAGTCGAAACTTCTAGAAACGGTCCGCCCATGGTTAAAGTAATGGTTAAATAATGTTAACGTTAAATGTATAATGTTAAATAGTAAATAGTTTTAGATAGCCATAGCCCAATAAATAGTTCATAGAAACTGGCTGCTCAACCCTCAGTTTGTCTCTTTCAAACGCAATCAACCCCTTAAATCTTGGAATGATTCGAGATAGCAAACTAAGACTGGCAAAAGGTGTTGGCATGAACTGACCTCGCTACGGAAAGAACAAATCTAGCAACACCATGCTTCATGTTTTTTCCTGCTGTATCGATTCGTTTTGTTTCTAAAGTAACTATAGTCTGATACACGCAAAATGCTACATTTCGGACAGTCCAGTGATGAAAACAGGCAGAATCTGATGGAATGCAAAAATAAAAGCATGAGCAGCTGCTACCTTCTGTCGCCAACGCCACCAACGCCACCAAGCAACTGAAGCCTCGACTTATCGGACTCTGCGCCAGCAAAGGCACCAAGCAGCGCAGAACACAACTCATCGATTTCCTCGTCCCTGTGGCAAAGTGGCACATATGAAAATGTCATTGTCACACGACAATACATGACATATCATGGCTTACAGAACTCAAAAATGAAATTGGTTTAGAACCCAGGATTGTTTACCATTGTTTACCCATGCATAGATTCATAGATGCATAGAATCGGTTTCACTTCTTTGGGTATCTTGAGACTTTGGACATTCAGGATTCTCTGGGAGCGCACATGGCGCTCTGAAGAGCTTCTAAGCTTCACGAAGCTTCGGCATATTTCACAGCTCATCCCCACCTCTGCTCGCACTCACGCAGTTCTTCAGCATCAGCGCCAGCCTGTCAATCCCCAGTGATTTGATGCGCAGCTTTTTTTTCGCAGATCCACACCATTGGACTAGACTATTCGTTTCTTCAAAAACACAAGAAAAGGCCGCCCAAGTACAACATTGACTTTGGCATCTACAGTATCTTCAAATTAAAACTGAAACCATCCCGAGATAAAATCCTGTACTTATAAGAGAAACTGCCTAACAAGGTCGGCGGTGAGCATTACAAGCACACTGCCCCCTGCGTGGTTCCACAACCCTTGTCCCAACATGTGACTATGATCGATCAGGCCTCCACATATGGAATTCTTCATGTTTCTGTTCCATGGCACTGTCTCACGCTGTATCCCCTCCCAGATTTAGCTGACCTCCAACAGCCGAACAGCGCAAGGTAGGTGCCGGTGCAAGACACTCAACTGCAGCACCGTGCGACCCTGCTCATCCCTGGGCCATGGGAAGCTCGTGCAAGTAGCGCCTGAGCGACGACGTCGCTAAACCCCCAATGCTAGTCGTAGCAAGCCTTCCAAGCACTTCTTCAAAGGTTTGGGAGTTTCCTGTGTTCATTCTGAATTTATTTCAAGTCTATACACTACCGACACAATCGTAAGGATCCAGGCCAAAACATTGCTAGCTTGCCTATCAGCCACGCAAGTTATGATGCACACATTTAGGCACCTGGTGACCTCAACAAGCAAAATCTTGGCCCCTCAGTGACAAGTGATCCTCATACGAGCTGCCATTCTTTCTGCTCCCGAGCTTCCAATGGGAAATGACTGTGGCCCAAAGTGGGGTCCCAAAACCATCCTAGATAGATAGATAGATAGATAGATAGATAGATAGATAGATAGATAGATAGCCATTGATTTTTACCTGGCCTGGGCTCGAGGCACTGCCACCACCGCCAGGATTCATCCCAGCCAAAGAGCTGGACCGCTTCACCTGGCTGTGCATGTCTATCCATCGCCAGATTTCATGTGTTTATTTCTTTACATGATTATTTCATTTATATATTTATGTGGGTGTGTATGTGTGATATATATGTGCGATATGTATGTGTGATATATATGTGCGATATGTATGTGTGATATATATGTATGTATGTATGTATGTATGTAATGTATGTATGCAATGTAATGTATGTATGCAATGTAATGTATTGTAATGTAATGTAATGTTATGTATGTATGTATGTAAATATGTAATGCATGTATGTAATGCATGTATGTAATGTATGTATGTAATGTATGTATGTATGTATGTACGTACGTACGTACGTACGTACGTATGTATGTATGTATGTATGTATATGTGTGTGTATGTATGTATGTATGTAGGTAGGTAGGTAGGTATGTATGTATGTTTGTATGTAATGTATGTATGCAATGTAATGTATGTATGCAATGTAATGTATTGTAATGTAATGTAATGTTATGTTATGTATGTATGTAAGTATGTAATGCATGTATGTAATGTATGTATGTAATGTATGTATGTAATGTATGGAATGTATGTAATGTATGTAATGTATGTAATGTAATGTATGTATGTAGTGTATGCAATGTATGCAATGTATGTAATGTATGTAATGTATGCAATGCATGCAATGTATGCAATGTATGTAATGTATGTAATGTATGAAATGTATGTAATGTATGTAATGTATGGATTGTATGTAATGTATGTAATGTATGTAATGTATGTAATGTATGTAATGTATGTAATGTATGTAATGCATGTAATGTAATGTATGTAATGTAATGTAATGTAATGCAATGTAATGTAATGTATTGTAATGTAATGTAATGTAATGCAATGTATGTATGTATGTAAGTATGTAATGCATGTATGTAATGTATGTATGTAATGTATGTATGTAATGTATGTATTTAGTATGTAATGCATGTATGTAATGTATGTAATGTATGTAATGTATGTAATGTATGTAATGTATGTAATGTAATGCAATGTATGTAATGTATGTAATGTATGTATGTATGTATTTATGTATGTATGTATGCATGCATGCATGCATGCATGTATGTATGTATGTATAATATGTGTGTATGTATGTATGTATGTATGTAGGTAGGTAGGTAGGTAGGTAGGTATGTATGTATGTATGTAATGTATGCAATGTGATGTAATGTAATGTAATGTTATGTATGTATGTATGTAAGTATGTAATGCATGTATGTAATGTATGTATGTAATGTATGTATGTAATGTATGCATGTAGTATGTAATGCATGTAGTATGTAATGCATGTATGTAATGTATGTAATGTATGTAATGTATGCAATGTATGCAATGTATGCAATGTATGTATGTATGCAATGTATGGAATGTATGTAATGTTTGTATGTATGTATGTAATGTAATGTATGTAATGTATGCAATGTACGTAATGTATGTAATGTATGCAATGTATGCAATGTATGCAATGTATGCAATGTAATGTAATGTAATGTTATGTTATGTAATGTAAGTATGTATGAAGTGTATGCAATGTATGCAATGTATGCAATGTATGTAATGTCTGTAATGTATGTAATGTATGAAATGTATGTATGTAGTGTATGTAATGTGCGTAATGTATGTAATGTATGTAATGTATGTAATGTATGTAATGTAAGTAATGTATGTAATGTATGTAATGTATGTAATGCATGTAATGTATGTAATGTATGCAATGTATGTAATGTAATGTATGTATGTAATGTATGTATTGTAATGTATGTAATGTAACGTAACGTAACGTAACGTAATGTAATGTAATGTAATGCAATGTATGTATGTATGTATGTAATGTATGTATGTAATGTATGTCATGTATGTATTTAGTATGTAATGCATGTATGTAATGTATGTAATGTATGTAATGTATGTAATGTAAGTAATGTAGTGTATGTAATGTATGTAATGTATGGAATGTATGTAATGTATGTACTGTATGTAATGTATGTAATGTATGGAATGTATGTAATGTATGTAATGTATGTAATGTATGTAATGTAATGTTATGTATGTATGTAAGTATGTAATGCATGTATGTAATGCATGTATGTAATGTATGTATGTAATGTATGCATGTAGTATGTAATGCATGCATGTAGTATGTAATGCATGTAGTATGTAATGCATGTATGTAATGCATGTAATGTATGTAATGTATGCAATGTATGCAATGTATGCAATGTATGGAATGTATGTAATGTATGTAATGTATGTAATGTAATGTAATGTATGAAATGTATGTAATGTATGTAATGTATGGATTGTATGTAATGTATGTAATGTATGTAATGCATGTAATGTATGCAATGTAATGTAATGTATGTAATGTAATGTAATGTAATGTTATGTTATGTTATGTATGTATGTATGTAGGTAGGTAGGTAGGTAGGTGTATATATATATATATATATTGTGTGTATACAGTTTATATCTCCATATTTACATTTTGCTTGCAAACATGTACAAGTCACACAAAAAAGAAGGACTTCATCATGTCATTTCCTTGCGCAAATCTCCAACTTGAAAAATTCGGCCGAAGCATCCTGTGTAAGCAGGGGATGAACCATTTCCCCAATGTTCTCTCACACAGCACCGCAGCACCAGGTCCACATTGATCCCTAAATCGAAGGAAAAACTCTCAAGGCCGAGAACTGTGCTGCTTCCACAAATCTATGGCATCAAATTGGACCTTTTGATATCTTTTGATCATGTTTGACCCATGAATTCCAGACATCTCCAGCACCTTGCGACAGCCAAATGATGGTCGCTGCATTGAAGGAAGGGCCCCGTCGCAAAGCCGCTTTCTCCGCAGCGATCTGGAGAGCCAAAGGGAACTATTTTCCACTATGGCACCGACAGTTTCAAAGCATGTCAAGGCGGTGAGAAATTTCTGAGTGTTGACCCGGCACTACTTCTAGCAAAATTATCAGTAGCGGCGCAACGGAAAGACAGCTGCCCTTGCCTCATAGCAGCTGCCAGGGCCAATTAAGGACTGCAGCGCGTCGCAAGAAACATCTTGCCATTCTATGGCTAAAGCGTGCTACAAGTAAAGCAATTTGAAACATCACATGCGTTGACATACAGTGCGAAACTAACCTTTCAAACTCAGTGGCACGGCATGGCAGTCAAGCTCTGAAATATCGGCCTTCAGCGGTGTTATCCACAGTATTTCTTCAACTTCCTCCTGGTGCAGGGGGTTCTTCGACTTGGGGTATCCAAACTGTTGAGCATTAAAACTTGACATCAGTTAGAAATACTTAAATGACTTATGACATAACTTATGTGTAAAATTGTTGAAATATTGATGCTCAGAATACTCAACAGTGTCAGCATCGAGATTGAAACCGAGCATTTGATGCCCACTGCAGCTCTGCATGTCACACGTGTCACACGTGTCACCAGCTATGTCACCTCAAAGGGTTCCGGGTCGTCCAGTTGAAGCTTCAACACGCTGCAGCCTTGGACCGTCTCAGCTGGACAGCTTGCACGAAGCACAGCTGGTGGAAACTGAGGAGGTGGCGGGTAAGTATCCTCGGCACAGCGGCAAAGGAGCTGTCGGACGTGGCTCCAAAGGGGCCACAAATAAATCTGCTCACTTTTTCATACAGATCGAAAAGTAGATCGATAGATAGCTTGGTTGGTGCATAGGTAAGATTAAACTGGACTGGATTAGATTCGATTAGACTAGACTAGATTGGATTGGATTATGTTAGACCAGATCAGATTAGATTAGACTGGAGTAGAGTAGAGTAAAGTGGACAGCATATTAGACTAGACTAGGCTAGACTAAACTAGATTAGATTATATAGTTCAGATCACATCAGATTACATTGGATTGACAAATAGATCGGTAGATAATCTAGGTAGATAGGTAAATCGGTAGATAGGTAGATTAAGATGATTAAGACAAAGACTATAGATTAAGATTAGAGAAGAGAAGAACAGAGAAGAGAAGATAGAAATGATAGATGTAGATATACACCTATGACCCACAGTATGATTCATATGATCCACATATGTGATACCCCCTGTGATACCACAAGCGTTGTGCGTTTCCAACACGTCCAGGCGTCGTCCAGCTTTCACCTTGAGCCACGTCTGCGTGTCGTTGAGAACGCCCCAAACGCAGTGGCCCCAGGCCACTGGCTTCAGTGCCTGGCCAGTTTCGTCAGGGCTTACTGTAGTTTCCCTCCAGTTGGGATCTCTTGATATATCATATTACTGAATTTGAAGTATAAATATTATCTATAAGCATGAAACATAAATATGGTCTAACATGATATGGGGGCCCCATAACTATCCAGAACTATGGTTACATTATACAACCTCTTATAACTAGAACATGCTGGATATGACCCACCTAGGTATCGGGGCTGGAATTCAATTCTCTTCCATTCAATGGGTGTCTTCATGAGAAAAGCTGCTGGCGACATGAGGCAAACATGGCCTAGTGGATTCAGAGAGTATTTTCGCAATATCATGCTGCATTGTCTCAAAAGTGCCACGTACTACAGAAGATATCCTTTTGCTCAATTCCAGCGTATCCAGGTTTGAGACTGCTTCAGCCTTTCAAAACTGATGTGAACTTTTTGCAGCCACTGCCTTCTTAAAACATCTCTATTACCCGCAAAGTAAACGTGGGAAACTCCCGGCAGTTCAGGAAGAATTGGTCCTGAATTGGTTTAAATAGGTCAACATAGGTCGACATCTTCAAATTCAAATGTCTCAAAGGTCCACGGATTTCCAATGACTTCCATTTAAGGGCACCGGATTCTTGTCGCCATCCAGGGAGGTGCAGTAGCGCAGCCCAGAGCTGTCCGATCGCAGGAGACCTCAGTGCATCTGTCAAGGGATGGAACCATTCATTCCGGCTCTGGTTGGTGGTTCCACCCCTCTGAAAAATATGAGTTCGTCAGTTGGGATGATTATTCCCGAAATATGGAAAAATAAGATTCATGTTCCAAACCACCACTTTATCCCACTTTATCGGTAGCGCCGTCAGAGTCTCACGCTGGCGGCCCACATGTGGGGTGCCACTAAACAGATGTCAGCAACACCAATGGAAATCTGTGATCACGCATGGCCATAGGTAGGTTCTCGATAGCTTTGGAGCAACGAAAGACACCGCCTGGACTAAATTTCAGAATCCACTCATCAACTGCCCTGACACGGTGCTTGCACCAAGGCACCGCCAAGCAGCCAGTATGAAGAAAGAGGGATTGTGAAAAGGGTCTACAATATGAGTATGCACACCCTTGTCCATGATGACGAAGTGATTCTTTCAGAACTTTGGAAAACCATCGCACGCGGGTCTGGAAGGGGATGGCAAGAAGGTCCAAGTGCGGTGTGTTTTTACCATCATCCCACCCATTCAGCTTCGTAGGTGCATGCTCTCCAGACATCTGAAAATCCAAATAAAGCTGAAACTGCGAAACCCAAATGATTTCCCAAGAGCTATCAAAAGTAGCCTGCCAAAACCAAGAAAGGATAGTTCGCACCACTGAGTCTCCATACCATTTGACAGCTTGAGAGGGAATATGCAGCAGCGCCAAGGGACGCCATGTACCAGGTGGGACACTTGCAGGAGCCCCAACATCAGCCCTTTCATCACCATCAGGTTCAGACTCAGCCTTTATCACTGCTTTACTGATGCGCAGAAGAACATTCTGCACAACACGTGAAAACCGCATACATGCAATAGTGGCATTGACATGTTGATCGAACAAGTTCCAAAACTCCTGGGGTCGAGACCACTGAGCCAAACATGCCGCCTGATCAGCATAGCCATTGTGCACCACACACCATTCCTCCAATGGAGACAGCGCATCAGCCACCCGCCGGTGAGCAGCAACCTTGGAAATTTCAACCTGACCAGGAGAAAAGTCCTGCAAACACTCAAACACTTCCCTCCACAAATCAGAATGTGCACTGTTTGGTTTGGGTTCACTTCCCCGCAAAAGGCGGTGCATGCGGGACACCACTGCTTTGCAATCACTCCACAGAAAATTTTTCCCTTTTTGCAGGCGCATCAGTTTCAACGCTTGCAGGATGGCAAAAATTTCAGCCCTGTAGGAGCTTTGTAGCATACCTGGCAGTGGACCTGATTGCAAAAGCCTGCAGCCCGTGTCATCACATGCGGCAATCACAACTGCCCAAGAAGCAAGCCTACAAGTAGGAAATGCCTGGTTGAGGCAACTACCATCTGTGAACAAATGAATGTCTGCACTAGTGTCAACCACGGGATCAACCTCTGGAACAGCAATGGACGCAAGGCATTGATACCAGGAAAACAGGGTGTATGGCCGCACACTCCATCCATACCCAGTTAGGTAATCTGGTGCACCAGGAATCAACTTCCAAACATCGGCAGGGACATCAGCACGTTCAGAGGCAAATGCTTCACACACCCAAAATCTATGGAATCTGGAATCACTGCACTGGCAGAAGGGGCAAAGAGTAGAGCCATCTTCCTGACAATGTGATTTACCGTCCTGCGTAATGTGACAACCATTAAGATATTTGTGAAAAAGCTCCTGTTCATCCACTGGAAGGGCCTTGAGAAAAACACGGGTGTCCATGGCATCAGCATACTGCAAATCTTTAAACCCAGGGCGATGTTTAACTTGTTCAGAGACCACATGTTGCCATGCCCACTGAGCACGAAATGCCACTTCCGCCATGCATGCATCAAACAAGGAAAACCTGCCAAACACGTCATGAATCCGTCCACCCTCGTCAATGTGCCAACCCAAAGTCTGCAAGCGAGACAACAGGGTAACAGAAATGCAGTTGTCAGGTATACCGGCTGATGAGGACGTCAAGGCAGACAAAGCCGAAGCCACTTGAGCCGCATCCCCACAATCTCGAGCACAACGAATGGTCTGCACAATGGACCAAAACCCCGGATCAACCAATGGGTTCTCAATCATGCCTAACTGCAGCCAAGCATTGCAACCCGCACCATCAGCCCCAAGGCCCTTAACTGCACCTGTGCGCAGGGAGTGGACAACAGCATCCCCAACTGCAGTGGCAGCTACGGCGTGAAGCGCACGCGGCCAGGCCGCAACAAGCAATGCCCGTACTTTGGTGCGGTAGCCACTGGCTGACAATCGCAATCGTGGCCACAAGCCAGTCATAGCATGGACCCGGTCAGTAAGAGTAGCAATCGTGTGCTTTTTGGAAAACTGCGCATGTGCTCCTAAGTTTTTGGAGGCCAGAACTACCGTAAAGCCCTCATCACGCAGAAGCTTCCGTCCAGCAGGGGTGATGGACCAGGCATACGTCTTTTTGGGATCCAACTGCAGGTCAACAGCAGCCACAAATCTGTCCAAACACTGCTTTGCCCCACTCAGCATGGAGCCATGAGGACACAAGACCTGCCAATCATCGACATATGACAGCGCAGTGCACAGTGGAAAGAAGTGCTGCTGCCACACATGAAATGCAAAGTCGATCAGGACCATCGCAACACAACTTAACCCACAGCCTTCGGGAAATCCAGTGACGCTCGGAACTCCTTCAGTCAGTGATCCTCGAAGCAAAAATCTTCGCTTCATTTGAGTCAAAGCACCTGCCCATGCCAAGAGCATGTGCCCAGGGAGGCCTAAATGACCAGCAATTTCAAATACCACCATCCGAGGAAGCATGTTGAAAGCCTTCTGCAAATCGGCAACAACCCCTGTCAACTCAACAGATTGCTGATAAGAGTGTTCGACAGACCAAAGCAGCTTGGACCAAACTTGGGCTGCGTAGCGTCCAGGACGACCACCGTAAAGGGTATCAGGCAATGCAGAATCCAACTGAGACAAAGCCTTTTTGGAATGAAATGAGCTCCAAACCCGATAAAGAAGGCTAAAGACAGTGATGGGACGGAAGTCCGCTGGCGACCCTGGACAAGACACCTTCGCAAGGCTAATAACACGCCCATCCACAAGCTGGGACGGCCATGAACCAGTCTTCTCAGAGTGCAAGTACATGCTACAAAAGACCTGGAGAACATGATCAGGCATCCTTCTGAGGTCAAGCAATGTCACACCATCAAAGCCTGGTGAGGTGGTTTTCTTTTTGTGTTGAAGCACCTGCTTGAAATCATGAACTGTCATGGAAGGCCATTGCAAATCAAGGCGAGGCAAGAAACGTTTAACAAAGGAGATGATTGCAGTCCATCTCTCATGAGGCACGTCGACGTGTCGCATCCAACGGTCCCTCCAGACACCTATGAAAATTGCAGCCAAGTCTTCATGTCTGCCAACAAACTTCGTTTGAGAGACTTCATCCCCAACCGAAACAAAGGAGACATCGGTGGCCCAAATGGCATCCTCAGATTGGTGAATAACATCCAGCGGCTGACCCTTGCAAGAGAGAACTCCATCCGGCTGAAACTCACATGCATGATCCAACACCAACTTCTGCTCTTCGATGTCGACCTCCTCCACCACGGCCCGGATAGGTTGCAGCAAAACGCCAACCCCTGGTACCGCAGGTGGACGAACATCTTGGAAAACCAAATTCGGATTTTGAGCCCTCCTAAACTTGGCATATTGTCTGGAAGAGGCACGTAGTTCCCGTTCAAATTCTCTCAAGGCCGTGCTAAGGGATTCAAACATCGCAACAGCAACATTGCCCTCAGGGGGAAAGGTTGGACAAGCCATGGGGGCCTCATGAGTCTTGAAAGCAGAACATGACCACCACTGAGCAAAGCTGGGTACAAACCCTTTTGCACGGACAATGGCTCCCCAAGCTTCGGCTTTAGCAATGCTAATATGGGTGGCAGAGCTGCCAGTCATGCGTGCATAAGCTTGAAGTCTTCTGACCTGTCGCAACCACTGAGAGTGTCTGACCGACGAGCCAAAGAACTCAGGTTGAAAATCACCTTTGCGAGCCAACTTCACAGGAGCAAAAAGGCCACCACGCACTTTCTTGGGCATGCGACGTGCTGCCCTTCCAAGCATGTTGCGAGAGACAGGGATAGGACATTGTGCCTGCGCACTAGTTTCAATCTGCTGCCAAACCTCAGCATACGCCACAGTCAAATCACCTGGTTCAGAAGGCCATTGGAGATCATGCGCAAACTGATTTGGCCATGGAAATTGGTCAGGCATGGGCCACACCCACATAGGAGGAGCACAGCAAGGGGCATGAAACGTACCAACCAGCACTGAATGGTCTGGGCAGACATCATGACGCACATCAGTTGCAAATAACAGCTCCTGAAGCTCAGGGGACAAGTACAAGAAATCTTTCCTCGTCCGTTGTTTGCACGTGTTCTGTACTGGGCAGCCCCAGCGCTCCAAGGCAACATCTTGGATGTCTCTAAACCCCGCATTGGCCAGCATGGAAAAAACAGGCAGACTATCCTGTACAACATTCCAGTCTCCAGCGACCAGCCGTGGCCCTTTGCAAAGGTGACAGACATGTGAGGCAACATGATGCAAAATCTGCTCATTGTTCTTGAGGTAGGAGGGGTAATGACTAGAGTTAGGTTCTCCATAAACCACTCCGCCAGACAACCACACATCTCCCAAAAGGGTGGTGAAAAGCAAACATCGACCCGAATCCTGAACATGCATGGGCATAGCAGAAGGCAAAGCTCTGGTGGGAAACCGCGACAAAATGCCAACACCCTTCCAGGATGTCTGCGTGGTAAGGCTTTTGCGAACCGAAGTTTGATCAGTGAGACAATACCTGTGAGCTGATTGGGCGGCACACAGCCCAGCTCGAAATCGTGAGACATCTTTGCCATAAAAGTGGGTTTCAGCAACCAACCATAAGTCTCCATACTCCAGATGATGCTGAAAGTACTGTGCTTTGTTTCGCAACCCGGACGGGTTAAAAGAACCCAGTGTGAACTGTTGGGCCTCAATCCTAGTTCCAGCAGCGCAATCTGCAAAAGGAAGAGGAAAATCAACAGCCATGGCAAAACCAAATGGGGTGAAAGGACACACCGACCCTCGCTCTGCCAGCACGGCCGTACCGGACTGGTAGGGGAATTGGGCCTTCACGGCTTCCAAACCACCAACCAGGGCTCATATCTATCGGAGGATGATCCATTGGCTCGTGGGGACTGTTGAGCCAAGGAACTGTTGTCCACCAGGAAACGTTGAGGGCCCGTGGCCACAGCTCCCTGGAACGAGAAATACCGCAAGCCTACTCTGCTCCCAAGGAAATTGTAGACAATAATGGGATAACAATGAGATAATGATAGGATAACAATACAAACAATGGGATATATATATATATAATTATATATATACATTACAGTAATGATAATAGTAATGAGATGTCAAACTATCAGAATGAAGTTAATGTTCAGAAGAACTACACCCGAGTTTCGAATCCAAACTCTATAGAATGTCTGAAGGATCAAGGCCGTCAAGTGTTCTTCAGTCGCTTGGAAATAAAACTCAGATTTGGGCATCGTTCTGTGGCCGTGTGGCGGAGCCAGCACTTCGCTGCTCAGCGGCTCATTATGCTCATTCAGAGAACGCGGCATGAGAAATGTCGAATCTCAGTGTATTTCAATGCAGTTCATCTTTTTCAACAAAGCTTCGAAATCTTGGTCATGTGACATCAAACCATGAGAGAGATGGAAGGACTTCTGTTGATCTCTGTCAGTTCATGAAACCTACAGACCTGGAAACTACGGACAGCGATGGAGCCAGCATACACGCTTCAGCTCCTAAAAAGTACATCTCAAAGATTCTGATTAAAAGGAGAATGGACATGATTCAGTGCGGTTCCCCAAAAAAGCCAAGATGTCTCAAAGCCACGATCAATAAGGTGTCCCACGGTCCACTTTCCACAGAAACACCCAGTCTGGGGCTCAATGCTCATGGCGTGATCGGGATCCCCAAGGCAAACATCATCTTTTTGCAGCGGAGCTGGTCCAAAAGCTGCTGGGACGCGACAAACCGTTTTGGTATGTTTTGGTTACGCAAAACCCAACCAATCTGCTTGGCAGATGGTTCAAGTTCCATGTACCTTCCAGCACAAGTGACTGTGACATGCAGAAGAAATAAAACAACAATGGAAACAATAAAACAAGGAACCCACTGAAGAAGATCGAGAAGCGAAACAAGTAGAAAACAAGGTCTGAAGCGAGTATAATTTCATTGCGCACTGCTCGGGACTGATCTGCCGCCTGCCTGCCACACCGGCCAAAAAACCCATATGTTATGGGGCAGCCAATGTCACTCTGTATCTAATTGCCTCTAACTCTTTCTGTTCACCTTTTTAGGTGCATACTTGAGCGAGGCTGTCTGCTGGAACCCTACTTGACGCTAGAGTCTTCATGGCCATAAAGTCTTTCATCAGTTTCGTTCCTGCAACTGTCATCTGAAAAAAGCGAGTATAATATATACCAGACCATTCCTTGTTTGTGTTTCCTGCCAAGTGGCCTTTAGAAAGAGGCCAGTTTAGGAAAACGTAGAAAGAGGTCAGTTGAGGAAACGAGCCAGAAAAGTGGCCCACCAGTGACACGCAAGTGACACGCAGTGACACGCAGAAATCATGTGATCAGCCAGGCAAAGAGGTCACTTAAGATCTTAAGGATTCTTGAAACGAGGTCACTTATGCATGATTGATCTTGTAAGTGACCGTCTGGCACTTTGGGTTTAAGCGGCTTCCATTAGAGGGCAGAAGCAACTGCCTGGTATATATATATAATATAATATATATGCAAAAACGGCTAACCACGTGTAGAAAATGAGCCCAAGAGCACGAACTAAATTTAGAAATGCGAGGCCGATATTTTTTCGCAACAAGCACTGGTGGGTGAAACCAATGAACTTCAAAAAGCTGGCCGTAGTTATCATTTAATTTAATTCCTGCATATTTTCTTGGTCTCAGGGTTGATCACAAGCAAAATGACATGGATCATGGATCTCCCACCAGGCGTGAACTCCTCACATTGCTACTGTCAGAGCTGCTCCAAGAATTTCATCACAGCGTCGAAGCGGTGGCAGAATGTTTCCCTAGGAACGAATCCAAACGGTGCAGCATCAAGTCTTGCAGGCGCTTGTTGAATGCCTCCACATCCTCGATCTTGCCCAAAACCAACTCCTGAAGCAAGGTGAACACTTAACTATCATTTAACTTATCTATACTTGTCTTATCATTGTCTCATCTTGTCTTATTGCCTTGGAAACCCGCCGTCCACGTTGATAGGGACTGGGACTCAACAGGTCTTCCGTTGCGCGGCTCAGCTCCCCCCGCGCCTTGTCTGCCGGAAAGGACGCTTCTGCCTGTCGCACATCGGAGGACGCCAAGCGTCCAAGGCAAACGTCTCTGGAGGCTCCCGAGTGAATCTTCACCGCCTGGGCGCGTGCATTGTTCAAGCATGGCACAGCTCATTGATGAAATATCTCTGATTCCGTGTGGGTTCTCAGGCGGTATTTATTTACCATAGGTCCATAGGTAGTATCATAAGATGGCTTCGGGACCGTTTCTGGAGAGGCCTTTTTGATATTTCGAAGGCCCCATAAGAATCCCATGCAAACCCCTGGACATTCTCAGCCAACACCTGAGACCCCCACAGGGCCCCACAAGAATCCCACTGAAACCCCACAATATTCATAAGGAGCTTCAGCCATTACCTGGAAACAATCCTTCTTGGACTCAAAATACCCAACCTTTTAGCCCTATTAATCCATACCCAATGCCATGCTCAGGTTTGGGCTGCTGCTGCAAATGGCATTGTTCTTGTTCTGTTTGAAATGCCATTAATTACCAAATCCCCACTCAACCCCTATCAAATCGTGAGGTCCATGATATGCAGCAACCCTCGCACCTGGGAGATGTGCAAATGATCAGCTTCAACCAATTCTGCAACGCACCAAACGCGCGTCAGCAGTGTAAAGTTCACATCCATCGCAACAACCTGCTCCAATCTCACCTGTTGGGGGGAGGAAAAAATGTGGACATAGAGTGAAAGGATAAATTGTAATTCTCCCATGTAAGAGCGACTATGGATCATTGCATCATACATGCTGAATAACTATTCTCGAATTCTTTCCATGACCATCTCCAAAGTCGCTAGGGTATCTGTTAACCCCCCCCACATGCCGAGGTCGGCAACCGCTGAAATGCTGAAATGCACAACCCTTTGGGGCCTCGGAATAGACTTCACGCAGTCGCCGCTTCAAATAGTTCATCATGTCATCGAACTTGTTCATTTCCTTGGTCAACTGAGTCATGTCAGTTCCTCCCTAGAATTGACAAAACATTACCAAAATGCGTGCTCCTTTGTGTCCCCTCATTGTGTATTTTCGCAGCGAGCAAGCATGTACAGAGTGACCAAGTCTTGGACCCCATTGATTGGTGCCACAGTGCTTCTTGTGGCTTTACTTTATTATAGACTCATTAGACATTAGAAAACAAAGTCCCGATTAAATCTCCCATCCGCAAGAATGCGGTGAATTTTTTGGGCCGAAGTGGTCTGGTTCAATGGATTTCAATGGATTTCAACGGATTTCAATGGATTTCAATTGCCCATTTGCCAAGTTTTGCCTGCCCCATATACAGGGCCGAGCGTCACTGAAATCGCCTTCAAAGTGCTTCTGGGTTTTGCAAGAACAGGTGGTGATGGGATGACCTGTCGAATCTGCCGTGGGTGCTCTGGCACAAATTCCTGCATGTTGGTTGACAGAAAAGGCACAGACCCAGTAAGGGACACTCAGTTGATTCCTCTCATCCAGCTGTTGGTGTAATCTATCAAAGTCCTTGTTCTTCAGGAGAGTCACCACACCATCATATGTCTCTTCTTGTAGAGCATCTGCAAAGATGGCTCCAATCAGGTGAGTAAACTTGTTGCCCCAATTGTGCGTCACCATTTTGTACGCCAACATCGGGACGCCACGGTTCACAGCAGTTGCATAGGCAAAACCACAGCCGGCATAGCCTCTGGCGGGCTCTCCACCAGGCACATCGGGTAGCTCGAAATACGCTCGAGATGCAATCTCAAAGGGCTTCTTCGGAAGAATCTGGACAGAGGAGCTTTCATTCATGGCTTTGTGGAATGCTCCTGAAGATGTCAGGATGTCAGGGGAATGCGCAATGGTCTAGTAAACCTGGGGAGCCTCTTTCAAATGCTGTTCATGGAACTATCAACCTTCATGCTTCAGAGCCATGTGCAAATTAGAGTAAAGTCTGTCGACCATTGTCGACGTGTACAGAACCAAGTCAAAGGCCAGAGAAACTGGCCATGGCAACCTCTAAAGCTGCAGTCTGACTCAGGTCGGCAGCATCCGGTTGAAAGATGGGACTCCCAAAACAAGCGAACTCAACTTCTACAGGTTCAACTTGATCATCCAGAGGCTTAAACACATTTATCGTAATCATTCATCATCTATCTCTCTCTGTGTTCTTTTTGGGAATGGATCAAAGTGGGGGACGCCCCAACCCACATCCTTTCTAAAATGGTCCATGTTATTTCATTTTGAGGGTCCTCCTTGTTGACCAATCCCATATCTATTGGATTCTATTGGTGGATCTCCAAGCGCCTGCTGCCACACTCTGCGAGCCATGCGATGAGGTGGCCTCCGCGTCTTGAAGGTCTTCGCGGTCATGAATGCGGAGAATGCGGACGTGAAGAGACGTCGCCCCAAGTTGCATGTCTCCTTCAAAACCACTCTGGAAGCTGGAATTCGGCAAGACTGCTTCGGAGACTGTCTGTTCCAGCTCTAGACTAATGCGGATCGCTTCTTGGTTGATATCATGAAGGACGAAAACTGCTTCCCAGGATGGCTCCTTTGGCCGAACTGAATCGCCACCCTTCCATGGCTTGGTGCAGGAACCATTCACGGCACGAACTGAGCAGATCGCTGTCAACGGCTCAAGGTCACATTGGACAACGATTTGATAGTCCCTGGAGCCTCTCATCTGCAAGGAACCAGGGATCACGACTTGGCGCGCAACATCATGAGTAGTCGACTGGTCTGGATCAAAATGCGACATCTGTTGCTCCAGGTCGGCATAGAAATCTAACAATTGCCTCACGGTGATGCCACGCTGTGCCAACTCCTTGACCTTGTTCTCCCAGGTCGTTGATACACCCGGCTCCAGAGACTCCAGGGACTCAGTACTTCCGGTACTTCCGAGATTCGAAGTCGAAGTGGAGCGCAGACTCAAATCGAGGCCGAACTTCCTGGGAGGATCTGAGAGCAGTGCTGGTTGGGCGAAAGCAGTGACTTCCGACACCAGGCCTGAAAAAATGCAGGAAACCAGCGGCACGATGATCAACTTTCGAAGCAATACCACGGTGAATGATAGCATCCATTTCCACTCATCAGCTTCACCCAGATTTGCTAGAAAGGCTGTTATCACCAGCACATGGAGGCAGGAAAGGCCAATAGCCACAACCCAAAACTGAATATCCCACCAGAGTCGCTTGCGCAGCTGCCTCCGGCGATGAGCTCTGTCGCGTTGTTCAAAGTCTCTCCAGGCTAAGTGGAACAACAAACTGCGTGGGATGAAATTCAACCTGGTTGGTGGTATACCTACCCCTCTGAAAAATATGAAAGTCAGTTGGGAAGGATTATCCCATATATGAAATGGAAAATAAAAGCCATGTCTGAAACCACCAACCAGCAACAGAATGGAGAAGAGTGTGACAAATGTGTACCATAGAAAGGTGCCTTGTTGGACTGGGCAGTCTGCTGGGCTGCGGGCAGCCACTGCAGATCCATCCACCGAGAAGAAGATCGCAACGAACGCCAAAGAGCCTAGGATGCAGTCCATGAAGATTTTGCCTCGTTTGGCGGCAGTAACATGTAAATCACAGTGAAGCAAGGTATAAGCAGGGTGAGCTGCTAAAAAGGTGGAGCACACTCGGTGAAGCCGCGAGCTGTGCATCAAGACAAAGGCCTCTGGTAGGTCTCCTTCCAGTCTCATGACCAAAGACTTGAGCACTGGCGACTTCTCCACAGCCAGACTGCCCTGCACCCAACCATTCCTTCCCCAAACATGCATTTCAAGAGATTCTATGTGTAGCTTGTGCTGCAGCGCCACATATCTCAAGGTATTTCGCCAGATACTGTCATCCTGAATTCTGCTGGAAATCGCTGGGTTCATCACCCTGTGCAGCTTCTTCTGGATCCGCGCCAAGTCTGTCTTCTGGTGCTGCCCCAGGCTCGCCACACTGGACTCGTGATGCAGGGCTGGAACGGTCGAAGCGCTCGGTTTCTTGGGAGCCTCCGCAGCGCTGCGCCCAGCGGTGCAGGCGGTGCAGGCGGTGCAGCTGCCACAGCCGCGCACCCCGGCCGGTGGCACCTCGGTCAGGAAGTACTCGTCCTTCCAGAGCCCGGAACGGCGCACCGACGCGTCAAGGAAGATGCCCAAAAGGATCAGAGCCAGCAGCAAAGCGATCGAAGGCCAAAGAAATAAGGCCGGGGGCCTTGACCACCAGCGAGGCTTCAGAATCTCTTGCAAGTTTTCCTCCGATAAGACATTGATGTTTGTGCAATCCAAAAGCCTTGGATGTCAGACACACTTTTAAACATCAAGAAAAAATTGACATCAAGCTCCAGAGAATTCACTTGAGTGATGAAGTCGCCAAACAAATGCTGTTGGCCTATAGCCCAATTGATCATAATGATTTGGCGTTTCCAGGGAGCCAGTCACTCCCTGGAGCCAGCCACTAGCTTGGAATTGGCAAAGGGCCTAGAATTCAGAACGTATGACGCAAGAATCAGCTTCCCAAACATGTCAGTGCTTTCATCTGACACTGAACTATACTGAACTACTCCGAGCAACAAATCCAGGAAGCCAGCAAAAATGGAAAGGTGATAAGAGACACACCATGCCCCTGAAGCTGACAGGTTGAATGCCGCCAATTCCTCCGCAGTCACCAGGCGCACTCCGTCAGTGGACCAGGTGTCACCATCCAAGTATGCGCATGTCCATCTGGTGGCGTCAAAAGGTTCAGTCAGTGGGCCCAGCTTCACATAGATGGGCCTAGTGGAGACTACTTTCTTCGCTGTCAAGTTGTCCAAATCATAAATGGAGACATCCACCACTCCGGTCACTGGCTTCAACAAGGTGTGACTTGTAGCTTGGAAAATGATGGCGTTCTGGTTCTCAGAAAAGGAGGTCGCCACCAACACCTCATCGTTCTGCAAAACCTGGCTGCCGAAGGAAAAGACTCTACTGGGGTGGGAGGTGACTCATGCGGTGGTAGGAGGCCTTGTTGTGTTCTGAAGTAAATGGGGATGTCAGTGGCCCGTGTATACAGTATACAGATGTATACAGTACATTCACTCTGAGTGAGTTCAAACCTTTGAGACTCCAAGTGCCAGCACAGTAAATAGGTCTAGCCTAGCAGGGCCCCGCTCGGTACTCAGCTGATCAAAGGTTCGTGCTCCCATCCGAAGATGGTGTCCTCTGCACTACAGTACTGGGTCATTGCCAAGGCCACCAAGCAGGACCCAAGGATTGGACAGTTTTGACATCTGCGAAAATTCAGACAGCATGCCTAATCTCATAAGCTCCTGTAAAATCATTCTGATCTGCCGGTCATTTCCAACCCTCCAACCCTTCAGCCTCAAGAGGAAGCACTGCGCCGGATGTCTCATCAACCAACTGTGCATACTCGCCATCAACGGAACTGTTCAGCTCCGCCCCGGCCGCCCTGGCCCACCTCATTACTGACATTTTGCCAATGGATGTCTCAAAACGGAGGATGTTTGGGTCTGTGCCGTTTGCGTCAGACAATTGGCCTCAGTCGCACATGGACATTGGCCCAAAGATGACCCAAGCTGATCTGGTGAAGTTGGATCTAGAAGGATGCAAAGGCACATTCTCTGATCCAATGAATTTCATATGAAAATTAAACAGAACTCACCATGGGGTGTTCGGCGACCATTGAAATCCAAAGGATCTGAGGCTTCAACGAAGCAGGGCCTCTGTGTTTTGCTCCAGCTCCCTCAATGTGTCGGCAATGGATCCTGCCTGGCTTCCGGAATTGGGGTCCAGTGTTACCATCCAATACCAACCAAAGTTTGATCTTTTAACGAACCCGGTAGCATGCCATAGTCAGGAAATGTGACAATTCATGACGATGGACTATGGATCCGAAACATCTTTTGAACTCCTAGCTGAAAGCATCAAAGGTCTGCTGACGTCTCGCAGCAATTGTTGGTATTAAAGGAATTACTTTCATGGACTCTTGAGGCTTCGCCATCCTGAAAAACCCGCCTTTTTGAACTGAAATTATGATTTCGTGATTCATGTCCTTTCAGCTTCAGGCATGGTTCAATGTATGGACTGATAGTGCTTTGTTCGCCTAGTGGCAATAGCTATACACTTAGTGGTTTTTGGTTGACATAGAACAGTTTGAGGATTCAATGATCTACCAAAAAGATGCTTACTTGACTATAAAAGTATTCAAAGGTGTCATTAATCTCATCTTTCTGAATCTTCAATAAAAAGGGGCCACTATGCCTACCTCTTTGAAAAGACGGGCTTTCCAGCCTCTGACATTGATGTTGAAACACCACTCAAAGTAGCCGTGCTGGTTGTGCCAAACATGCTCGTACCACTGGTGGTAGCGGTGCTCAATGTGCTGGTTGCGCTCGTAAGACTAGTGAAAGTAGCCGAGCTCGAAGTAGAAGTCGATGTGCTGATCGTGCGGGACGTAGTTGTGGAGGAAGTGCTGGATGTGCCTGTACTACTGCTCGAAGTAGAAGTAGATGTGTTGGTGATGGTGGTTGTGGTTGTGAAGGAAGTGCTGGATGTGCTTGTACTACTGCTCGAAGTAGAAGTAGATGTGCTGGTCGTGCTGGAAGTGCTGGATGTGCTTGTACTACTGCTCGAAGTAGAAGTAGATGTGCTGGTCGTGCTGGTTGTGGTTGTGAAGGAAGTGCTGGATGTGCTTGTACTGCTGCTCGAAGTAGAAGTAGATGTGCTGGTCGTGCTGGTTGCGGTTGTGGAGGAAGTGCTGGATGTGCTTGTTGTCGACGTCTGCACAAGGTCAAAAAAGACCGTGTGCAAAGGACACACTGCTCATGTCTTTCAAAAGGAGTATGCAGAATGATTTTTGAGGGCTCCAAATCCTTTGGCCCAGAATTCAACGAGGAACAGTGAATCTTAATTCTATGTATCTCCGACTAAAGCCTTTACACATTTTGGACCGCATTCATGACAATGCTCCTTTCAAGTACCGAACAGCAATTTTCCTATCCAAAGTCTTTGTTTCAATCACGGGCACGATAGGCCTTCCAAAGAAAAATTATCTTTGGATGCTACGTGTCAACATTAGTTGACTGTAAATCTGTTCTTGTCTCACCACGTTGACAAGAACGTGCAAATGCATTCAGAAGTGTCTATATAGTATCCTTTTTTGTTGACTTCATGCGTGGATACAAACCCAACAATTGATGCGGCGACGCTTTGGCCAAATCCTTTAGTCCTGAGGATATTAGAAACTTCTCTCAGAGACTTTCTCTTTTCCTGCGGACTTATATAAGTATTCCCAGCACACAAAGACATCCGTGATGTGAGGAACTCAAAACAAACCACCGGCGTCAAAACACAACGGGAGCGAGAAAAAAAATACACCAACTTGGTGTCGGCTCGAACATTTAGAGTAGCAACTGAATGAAGATATTTGAATGTGCATGTGCTGTTCAATTGCCGGGGAACTAATCAGCCAGGCAAAGAAAAAATGACCGATGGCCTTGCTGGAAGCTGTTTCTGTTTCTACAGTGCTTTTCCATCGGTGGATTTTCCAACACTAGTGGTTTTGGACCACTTGTGACCACTTGCATGTGATAAATGACAAGCTTCGTGCCTTAGACCTTGAAGTGCTGCTGAGTAGCTGTGGTCGTGCTGGATACGCTGGATATTGTGGACGTGATGGAAGTGGCAGTGCTTGACATGGTGGATGTTCTCGACTCGCTTGTTGTGGACACCTGCACAAGGTGACGCAACCGCTTTGCAAAGGGAAGATATGAAAGGAAGCACAGTGAAGGACTCTTGCCTCAAGAATCTACTCATGGATTACAGAATCTTTGAGACTGAGGCCAGTGACTGTGAGTGTCGAGCTTGTGGTAGTTGTGGGCGTGAGTACCTGGTACATCAAGGAATTTCACCCTCTGATACCATGGCAAATTGGAGAAATACTAGGCACCATGGGATTTCCAGCGCAAAGCGGGTAGTGAAGTCAATGCGTCTGCAACCCTTCAAGAGACTACCAGCAAAAAGTTCGCTTCCGTGGGAAAAAGTCATTGGTGAAGAGAGACATTCCCACTGGGCCCTTGATCCATGGGATGGGTAACATTGTGACATCTTAACTTTCACCGGGAGTCCCTTTAGTAATTAGATGTAATTAGTATCAATTGGTATCCTTTGGTGCCCTGAGCTCGTCGTTGCTAAGACTAAATCGGGCCACCATCATGGCAAAGATATCCTCCCCTCCTGCATTGGAGCCAGTTATGGCCCCAGTCCTCAGACCGCCAAGAAGCGCCAAGAAGAATACAACTGGGACTTGGCAACCCCTTCAGAATCATTGGACTTGTGGACCTATGGCAATGCGATCCTTTATCAACTGATTTGAAGTGGTCTTCACTAGAAAGGCGCAAAGCCGAGGAAAAACACTTTGAATGTTTTTTTTTACCAGAAAAAACAACTTGAAGTTGCGAGGTGGACCTCCCAATTGTGAAGGCCTGGAGTCTAACTACACACTTCCACCATTGTGGATGTCCATGGGAGCCCCCAACCATTAGAAAAGTGCAGGAGACCGAGACTTCAGATCAAGCTGTAGCATACAAAGTTTGTCATACCAAGAAACGTCGACCCTGCAACCAGAATGTTGCCAGCTGCTCCGAGAGAAAGTTGGTCCATGCACTCCTCCTTGGCGCCTAGGAGAGTGTGCGTAGAGGTGCAGAGCTTTTCTAATTGCAAGTGCTCATTGGAAAGTGGAAGGAAGAGATATGGCATGAGACAGACAGCCATGGCGCTTTGTTTTCAAGAGAGAGAGAGAGATATATATATATTATATTATCATATATCCTGAAAGAAGATGGCCCACAGACCCATTGATAGAGGAAACACATTCAACTGTTCCCATCGCATGTAAAAGCCAAACTTTCCACATGCTTGAAAGCTCTTTCAGCTGCCGTCTTTTGCTCATCATCTCAATGAAGCGCTGGAATGCTGCCAAGAATCTAGTGCCGAGTTGGCTCACCCACTCCTGATTGCCAGTAGCATCAAGCTTCAGCAAAACCACATCCTTGTCGCCAATCGCAACACCACCAGCCAAACTGTCAAGTGCAGTTGCCATCACAAAGATGCTACCAAAGGGATCCCAAACAGCTGCCATGCCTGTGTCACTTGTGCTGGTGCCTGTCTGTAAGATCCATTGCTGAACGCCCGAACTGTCAAGCATCAGGACTACCACGTCTTGACTTCCTGCACTACTGCCACCCATCACTCCATCCGTGTTACCCGTCACAACGATGTTGCCAGCACTGTCAATGTCCACGCCCGCAAACCACTCATCTCCGCTGGTTCCTGCTTGGAAAGACCACTGATCACTCCCTGCGTGATTCACTTCCAAACAAACAAGTCTGAGCCGCCAGCATGAGAATTGCTTTGAAAGGAGCCATAGCTGCGGCCCACCACCACGATGTTCCCTGAAGCATCCATTGCCAAGTTGACAGCGTAGTCACCAGCACTTCCTCCGGAAAGTACCGTCCATTGGTTGACCCCGTCGGAGCTGAGTTTCATCACAAAGGCGTCCACATCCCCAGCACTCACCTGGCCGTGTAAATCACCTTCCGTCCAGCCAGCCACAAAAATGTTACCCCAGAGATCCACCTGAACTCCAGTGCCTTCCTGCAAGCTACTCTGCCCAGTCTGGTAGGTCCACTGCAAAGTTTTGAAACGGTCAATTTTCATCACGAAGATGTCCGTCTGGCCACTGTGGCTCTGCGAGTTCAGGCTCCCGGAAGTATGGCCCGTGAGGACAATGCTGTTGAAGCTATCGACAGCCAGCCCCAACACCTGGTCATGCTGGTCACTTCCTGTTTGATAAGCCCACACCTCACTCCCATCTTCACTCAGCTTCACAGCAAAGACGTCCCAATTGCTATTGCCGGCATTGGAGCCCCCCAAACTTCCCTTGGTATCTCCTGCCAGAATCACATTCCCACAGGAGTCCAGGACCGCACCAAGAAGGACATCGTCAACAGAAGTTCCAGTCTGAAAGGTCCAGGACACCTGTCCCCAGTGGAGAAGGAACCAGTTATATCAGCAGATGTTAGTTAGATATATAATCATATATTTAAATCTCCTGGGAAGTAGTTTGTGACATTTTCTATGCAGGAACAACTTTGATCAGAAGCATCAACACGGATGATAAAACCATCAACACAATGCGACTTCATTGACTGTCTGGGAACCGGCGAAACAGCTATACAACGGCTGCCACAAGGAACGCTTGGAAAGCAAGTGGAAACCAGACGTAGATGTGAAACAATAGAAGACAACTCTCTTGAATGCTACGACAAAGCATGCAAATCTCCTGGAAAGTACTGACACAATGCGCCAGCCGTACAAGCTTGGCACAGTGCCACAGGCACTGCAAGGCCAAACAGGCAAAAGATCAAGTTTGATTGCAACCATCAAACTTCAACACGAAGCAACTGAAAGGATAAAAAACGGACCTGTTGGATCACTGGGAAAGTTCCTGGATATCAGGACATATCAGGACTGGTTGGGTGTTCTCATACTCCGTTCATGTCCATTCCTCTGCCTACACAAAACGCATTCCCCAAGCCTGACCACTGGTAGCTGGCGCAGGATCCGGAACTCGCAGCACCTGGGCAACTGCGGCTGTGGCAACGATGAACAAGTCAAAGAAACCAAGTAAGATTCTAATGATTCAGAATCTTTGTATTCTTAGTCAGTCTCGAATGATTAAGTGGACTGGGATGATTTATTGCAGTAGCATGTCGCCCCAGGTCCACGGACAGGCACAATAGCAAAGGAATTTGGAAAGAGCTGGTTCGGTCGTGACATTCAAGAGTACATAGAAACCAGCAAAAAGATATAAAAATACATTTCCAGTCAATTAATTTAAGTAGGATCTTGCTTTTCTATGCGTCTCAATCTTTTTGGGGCTAGAAATCAAAGCCGCCGCCTTCATCACGAAAATATCGTCGTAGCTGCCAGCATTGGCGTTGCCGTTGAGTCCACTGCCTCGATAATGAAATGATTTGGGATTTGGGATATGTTGCACTATGGCTATAACCTGGGATATATAAACATCATATTTGGGATATAATCAACAGGTGTCAATGATTTATCCAGAAATTTCTGTTTGACACTTTGACAATGACCTATGGCTGTGGTAATCGGCCAAGCGGGTCACAATCTAAGATGACTATGGTGGTGCCAGACATTCGTCCAAGTCGTCCAAGTCGTCCAAGTCGTCCAAGGACCCCTGCCTGTGGTACCCGCCAAGATGACGTTGTTCGACGCATCCAATTGCACAGCCCGTGCGATATCTACAGCCGTGGTCCCCGCGACGAATTTCCATTGAAGTGACCCTGCGCTGTCAAGCTCCACTGCCAAGATGTCTTCGCCTTGGTGAAATGGCGGCTTTGATCCCAAAGCCTCAAGGAAGTCATGTGGACGTGAAGGGAAAAATGAAAAGATTATCTTCAAAATATGACCAGTTCATTCCTCGCATGTTTTGGTCATTTCTGCAGATTGGTCACTGGTTAACGCATTGTTGATGGAACCTGCTAAAAGAATGCGGCCTGAAGGTATGATCTGAAGACTTCCGGCCCAGTGCTCCCTTGCAGTTCCAGTCTGAAAGGTCCACTCCCAGGACCCTTGGGCATCCACTTTCATGGCAAAGAGATCCACTGAACCATCAAAGCTGTTGCCATCCAAGCTACCAGCAGTCCAACCTGCCAGGATCAAGTCTCCATAGGAATCGATTTCCAAAGCTGTTGCACTGTCGTCTGCGCTGCTGCCCCTTTGAAAGGTCCACAGCTGCGACCCTGCACTGCTGAGTTTCATTGCAAAGATGTCCTGATGTTGACCAAAACATATTGCCAAAACACACATTTTTTCGTGCATTGAAGAGCCTTGGGAAGACAGCCGGCAAGCGCAAACACTAGGGGGGGTTCTTGAAAAATGGTTTCGAAACCCTTGCGTCTTTATTGACCAGTACATGCTGACCACACACACCATATGTTCACCTCAAAAACAGACGCGAACGCAAACCCTGATCCTTGTATCCAGCATTTGTATTCCCAAGGTCACCGTTAGTGTAGCCTGCTAAAACCAGGTCCCCAGAAGCATCAATGCGGAGTGCCGTGGCGACATCCTTCATGTTGGTGCCAATTTGAACAGTCCATTGATGTGACCCCGCACTGTCCAGCTGCATCACAAAAATGTCAGAATCACCAGCATTCGACCCTTGCATGGATCCATCGGTAGAGCCTGCCAGCAAAATGTTTCCAGAAGCATCGGTCTCCACAGCAAAAGCATAGTCTGCTGATGCGGTGCCAGTCTGGTAGGTCCACTGCTGAGAGCCCGTGTCATCCAGCTTCATGACAAGGATGTCAAAATTTCCAGCTGAAGCTCCACTGAGGTCCCCTGGGAAAGCCAACCGCTTTTGGGCCAGCCTAATGATGGAAGAAACTCTGCAATTTGGGAAACTACTCAAGTAGTTGCTGGAACACGCAGAATATCGATACGATTCTATACTACACACAAACATTTTTCCCCACCTGCCAGGTGAGGGTCTCTAGATTTTATCAGAAGTACTTTCTGCTTCCTTTTCTCCTTCCTTCCTTCTTCCTTCTTTCTTCTTCTTCCTTCTTCTTCCTTCGTCCTTCTTCTCCTCCGGCAGCCTCGGATCGCAACTGCGAGCTCCAGAGCTCAGTAGACACTGCCGGACATCAACTGCGAGCTCCGGAGCTCAACCGCGAGCTCCAGATCTCAGTGGTCACTGCCGGACCTCAACCGCAAGCGCCAGATCTCAGTGGGCACTGCTGGGCTTCAACCGCCAGGCACTGTCCAGCATTGCCCATGTCAGAGAGAATGCCAGAAAGGATGCCAGAATAGAAGGTCTGAAAATATATGCCATATATGCATGTATATTTCAAAGCAGTGACCTGTGCAGAATCCATTCTCACGGCAGGACATTCCGTAGACAACTCAGGCTCAGGGTGCGAATAGATGTGCAGCCACGTGAAGTCGCTGACTCGTGAGACTCAGGCGAGTCGTGGGCGACCCAAGCCTACCGACGCGCAAGCTGCGGGCCAAAGCGAAGATGATGCCCACATGATGATTTAAATGAAGAAGAAATTCTCACCCTTTTAGAGCTTTACAGATGTTACCTCATGGGCAAGGGTGCCGTTTCCGGTGCACCAATCCGAACTGCGGAGAACACCGACAAAAGCCAAAAAGAGAGCTACCAGCTCGGACTTTTAACTTTGAATCTTGGTGCAGTTAACCGTGTGCCGTATATCGGCGGTAGCAAACGTTTTCCTGCATATGTGCGCAAGGATCTGGACGCTCGCGTCCTGCCACACTTGGTTTTCCGTAACTCAGCTCACATCGTTACCTTGTGTGAGGCGCACGGCGATCATGGAGGTATTGCAGTTCACCAACAGCTTGCACATGATCACTCCATGAAGTGGTTCACGCCGAACTCTCGGCTCCATCTGTCGCCATTTTTATCCGCGGCAGCCATAGCGTTGGCACCTTTATTGAACTCTTAGGCCATTACCAATCCCAAACAGAAAACAAAGAAGAGCACAACAGGTTCTGGCTGTTACATGGTGTCATTTTCCGGCTTGCATACGGACGTGTAACGTCCGGTGAAATGGTGGACCCGACGAGCGGAATCGCACCACCAAACCTGATGATTCACTAACCTTAATAAGTACCCTGAATCGGAGGGATTTAGATCGGAAACAAATCTCTAACCAACAGTAAGATGATAAAAACGAACAAAACCGAAGGAAAGTGAATTAATCTGAAAAAAATGGAAAAATGGAAAAAAAACAAAGGAAATTGACTTTTATCGTCTAAAACCATATGCACATGGTCATTGTCATCATCCACCAAACATGTTATTTCTGGTATTTTTTTGAGTTCATTAATCACATCTTTATACTTTTCGGTGTTGTGTGCATTTCTGGTAGGTAACCTTAATAAATCCTCTAAAATGTCTCTGTTGATACTTCCATCTTTTCCACCCGTTCCTGATATATAAATAAAGTGTCTTGCCTGTCTTATAAAATCACGATGGGCTTCTGTATGCATTTGTCAATCCGTGTCTGTTTTCTGTTGTTTTTTCGTTGGCTATGTTCCTTTCTTCTTTATACAGTGTTGTATTTTGTCTGAATTGCTCATTAAGATTTCTTGCAAAGTTGTTCATCTTCTCATCTAAGTCTCTTTGTTTCTTGTCCGTGTCGTTCATCAACTCTTCTCTTCCTTGACGCGTTAATTCATCAAATGCTACTCTACCTATTTTTTTGTGAATAATCTCATCTCTTCTCTTGTTAATACATTTTCTATTGCTTCACCTCCCATAATTCTCTGAACAACCTCTCTCCCAAACTGCCTTCCCACCTGTCTCAATGCATTAGTCATTTCTATTCTTCCAACTCCTGCTACAACTCCAATCATTTATTCTGATATTAATGTTTGATAAAAATCATTTCTAATAATAGATATTATCATGAGTCATGAGTAATAGATAAACATATAAGAATATTTTTGTAGATAGTAAGTATCGCAATGCTCAATCAAAATCTTCATCTGACTTTTCAGTGGAGTTCAACGAAAACTCAGAAACACCAGAGGAAACAAAACTCTATGTAACTGATATTTCTATTCCAGCGGCGTGGAAATCTACAGAGGTGGGCTTGTATGACTATATATATGTTGCGCTCTTCAATGGCGATACATTAGTCACAAATTTCAGGGCATATTTAGGTAATATTATGGTAAACTGTGATTAAAACATGAAAGAATCACAAGAAAGAAATCAAAATGAACATAAAAAATCTCAAAAAAATCAAAAAATCTCAAAAAATTTCAAGCAATCTCAAAAAAACAATTTAAAAATAGCAAAAAAGTAAATTATGTTTAACAAAAAATCTCAAAAAATCTCAAAAAAGCTCAAAAAATCTCAAAAAAGCTCAAAAAATCTCAAAGAAAATCAAAATCTCAAAACATCTCAAACTTGATGATAGCATGAAAAAATAACGCTGCAAACCCCCGCAAAAAAAAAAAGAAGCTTTTTTTCATGTTTTTTGATTATATATTGCATGTGATTGTTGAATTTATTGCTGCAGTCATTTGTCTTTCAGGGATTCGCAGGACGCAGCAGCCTCCTTTGCTGAACCCGTTGCCATTGAAGACCACAACATAAATATACTCATAGAAGCCCACCTCTGTAGATTTCCACACCGCTGAAATAGAAGTATCAGTTACATAGAGTTTTATTTCCTCTGGTGTTTCTAAGTTTTCGTTCAACTCCACTGAAAAGTCAGATGAAGATTTTGATTGAGCATTGCGATACTTACTATCTACATTTTTTTTTTATATGTTTATCAGTTACTCATGACTCATGATAATACCTATTATTAGAAATGATTTTTATGAAACATTAATATCAAATTACTTTACTTCGTGTGATCCCCACCATGACATTTATATCTTCTGGCATTCTATCTGAGATATCTTCTGACATTCTATTTGGCATTCTATCTGGCATATCTTCTGGCATATGATCTGGCATATCTTCTGGCATATCTTCTGGCATTCTATCTGGCATATCTTCTGGCATTCTATCTGGCATATCTTCTGGCATTCTATCTGACATATCTTCTGGCATTCTATCTGTCATTCTATCTGGCATTCTATCTGGCATATCTTCTGGCATATATTCTGACATATCTTCTGGCATTCTATCTGACATATCTTCTGGCATATATTCTGACATATCTTCTGGCATATCTTCTGGCATATCTTCTGGCATATCTTCTGCATATCTATCTGGCATATTTTCTGGCATATTTTCTGGCATTCTATCTGGCAAATCTTCTGGCATTCTATCTGGCATTCTATCTGGCATATCTTCTGGCATATTATCTGGCATTCTATCTGGCATATCTTCTGGCATATCTTCTGGCATATCTTCTGCATTCTTCTGACATTCTTTCTGGCATTCTATTGGCATTCTTCTGGCATATATTCTGGCAACTGACATTCTTTCTGACATTCTTTCTAACTTTTTTCTGCACATTCTTTGTCCCATATCTTCCTACATGAGGTCCGGCAGGGAACACTTGGCGGATACTCGCGGTTGAGGTCCGGCAGGGAACACTGGGCGTGGATGGTCGTGGTTGAGGTCCGGCAGGGACTGGGCGTGGATCGTGGTTGAGGTCCGGCAGGGAACACTGGGCGCGGATGGTCGTGGTTGAGGTCCGGCAGGGAACACTGGGCGTGGATGGTCGTGGTTGAGGTCCGGCAGGGAACACTGGGCGTGGATGGTCGTGGTTGAGGTCCGGCAGAGAACACTGTGGATCGCGGGTCGCAGTTGGACGAGGACGACGAGGACGACGAGGACGACAAGGACGACAAGGATGACAAGGAGGACGAGGAGGAGGAGGAGAGGAGGACGAGGCAGGAGGAGGCGGAGGAGGAGGAGCAGGAGGAGGAGGAGGCAACTGACATAAAATCTAACAACCCTCACCTGGCAGGTGGGGAAATAAATGATTGGAGTTGTAGCAGGAGTTGGAAGAATAGAAATGACTAATGCATTGAGACAGGTGGGAAGGCAGTTTGGGAGAGAGGTTGTTCATAGAATTTTGGGAGGTGAAGCAATAGAAAATGTATTAACAAGAGAAGAGATGAGATTATTCGCAAAAAAATAGGTAGAGTAGCATTTGATGAATTAACGCGTCAAGGAAGAGAAGAGTTGATGAACGACACGGACAAGAAACAAAGAGACTTAGATGAGAAGATGAACAACTTTGCAAGAAATCTTAATGAGCAATTCAGACAAAATACAACACTGTATAAAGAAGAAAGGAACATAGCCAACAAAAAAACAACAGAAAACAGACACGGATTGACAAATGCATACAGAAGCCCATCGTGATTTTATAAGACAGGCAAGACACTTTATTTATATATCAGGAACGGGTGGAAAAGATGGAAGTATCAACAGAGACATTTTAGATGATTTATTAAGGTTACCTACCAGAAATGCACACAACACCGAAAAGTATAAAAATGTGATTAATGAATTCAAAAAATCACCAGAAATAACACGTTTGCTATCACATGTCCCTCAGATAATCCGCCGACCCCTGCCGCCAGCAGGGGGAGCGCGTTAGATATATAATCCACCAATGTTGATTTGTATATACCCATTTGTACCCCAACCAAATAAAAAATGATATAAAATGAAAAAAATGATTAAAAAATGAGTTTTAATGGGATAAAATGCTTAAATATGTGAAAAAATGTTTTTTTAATGCGTTTTTAAATTATTTTGAATTTATTTATGCGCATGGGGGTTCACAAAGTCTTCTGATCTAAACCCAGCTGATCTAGGGTATTTATCATTTTTGGTGAGCGATATTGAACCTAACATGAGTGCAGCAGTTAAGCTGCATCCCGCTCCACTGGCAACAACTCGAGATTCACCAAAGGTCGCGATCTGGGAAATTGACGGAACATGTGATGTCCAACACGCTGAGCTGTTCCCGCCGACTACCGGCGCTGACACTCACGATGTTAAACCTTTCACCCTCGCCGAAGTTCGTGTTGCAATTTTCCATATTTCGTCCTACGCATGGAGTGACGGTTACGCCGAAGGCTGCGAAAAGTGGCTGCACTTTATCGCAAACTGCATGAAACACCAGGTTGACTTTATTTCCGGCGATGGCAATCAGTTCGCCCAAAGAAATTTCAAGAAGGAGGATCACTCCGACTACCGGACTTGCATCATGATTGACATTCTTGAACGTTTTCTTCAACATATGAATTTGCACCGTAGCGCATTGAACAGAGTTTCATATAATGTTGTTTCTTCCACTCAAGCTGGCCAGTACATCCGATCTATGAAGGGCCATGCCGCTGATTGCGACTCAATGCTTTTGATTTCTTTGTGTTACGGTAAGCAAACCCTCATTTCCGAAGATAGAGGATGCCAGGAATCCGCTTCCACGGATGGCAGTGCAGGTCCTGCCTATAAATATGAGGATAAAATCATCTTCACGGACGTAGAACAAGCAAAGCATCGTTTAACATACGATCTTCCTGGATCACCGTATGACCATTTTTTCATTTATTTGACCGAATACTGCCGAATTTGGAGACATGACAACTTTTTTTCATATGCGCATATTTTGGCAGTATGTGGCGACAAGTGGCATGTTTGAAGAATATCGATAAATATTGGAAACATATTGAAAAACTATTGAAAAGTTGCAAGATTGGACAATATTGAAAAGATATTGAAAAATACTGAAACAATCTTGAAAACATATTGGAAACATATAGGAAATATATTTGTGTCGCGATTACCCCCGCATGCGTGCAACTTAGAATTCGAAATTTTGGCATATATGCCGTATGACCAAAAAAAGGGTCATATGCGAAATGACCAAAAAACAGTCGTTTGGGGATCCAGGTTGGACTACGGGAGACCGATGCCGCCTGGCATTCTCCGCTCACGACTTTTGCCACAGCGCGTGTTATGAAAAATATGCGCATTCGCTCCAAAGAATCCGAAAACCGGAGAAGAGCAAGATGGGAAGAGAAAAACATTGGGTACAGAGAGAACCGTGAAGATCGGAAGGCTGAACGCCGCGAAAAACACGACTAGTGTACCACCTTTGCAAAGAGACACATTCCGCAATGTGGATTCCATGTAGAAAAGATCAAGATCCATGAGCCGAGATCCCGGCCGCGATCGAACACCATCGCACCAACAACGCGCACAAGAAATGCCAACTCGCCAACCATGCACTCCTCCGCAACCACCACCTGCGAAGGCACCACCTGTTAAGGCACCACCAGTACCGCCTCCGCTGTCGCCAAGCGCAAGAAGAACAGTCGCAGGCAGATCGAGCGGCGCAACGCCGCCATGGCGAGAGCAATCGCGTCGAAAGAGAGGAGCGCCGCCAGCGCTCCGAAACTCCTCAGCCGCGTAACACCCGAAGCAGAACCGACAACCGGCCGTCTCAGTGTGCTTACTGGACCAATACGGGAAGGTCACAACGGGAACCGCCACCGAACGTTCCCGAGCCTCCTGCGCCACCTCGCCGCCAGACAGGTGCGCGATGGTTAAATTCTGGAGCCACCTTCCTCATCCACGAACCGCTACCGCGGTCAAAGATTTTATCAGCAACCTTATTGGAGAAATAACCCACGTATCCCTACCCCTATAGAGGGGGAGGGCGGGGGGCAACAAAACCAACCTGTCGAATTCCACTTTTTTTTGCTTGGAAACCCTGGGATAGTGATCCACCCCCTCGAATGGAATTGTAAAGTAACATTTCTTAGCTGCCTTGGTCACTGGTTAGAAAATACTTGCGCATTACGGCAGCGCAATTTTTTGGAGGGATGCCATCCCTACACATGTGCGGCTTCAGTCTCACATGTGCTTAGCTCCTCCGGAGCTAAGCGCACGTATTTAATTTTCACCTGCTTGCCAATGACATGGAATGATGAGGTATATTGATCATTGAGAAAACATGATTGCAAAAATGAAATTTTAAAGTGAAATTTCAGTACGACTCCCCCCCTCAAATTCCATGTTTAAGAGGGTAGGGATACCCACGTGACAACACCGTGGAATACATGCCGGGGTATGTTACCCCTTATGATCGTCGGATGCAAAGACCGGACGGTACGTGGTTGGATCTCGTGCCACAGACTCCGGACCAAAGCATTTATTTCAATCAACCGTCGGCTTTGAGACGCCACAATGGGCTATGGCTCTATGGATACACATTTTCCATGGGCCTTTCATTTTCCATGGGCCTTTGAAATTCTTTGAGAATCACGAGCCGAATCTTTGCCTAGCAGCACATCCATTTTTGTCTTCGGACACGTTTCACAGCAGAGCATAAGCTGAGCGCTTCTTGTGCAAAAAGACAGCTGCATGTTCCGACACGAAGAAAATTTGTGAACCATTTTTGGGGACGTGTCTACACAATGCATGACACCTTGCATGTACATGACATGTTCACATTAATTCATATTTCCCACTGCGCCACTCCGTGGCCCAAGACTTGCTTGCATACCGAAGCAAAAAGGTGTAGCTTGCCGCAGCGTTGACCACAAGTGTTCTAACAACTTTCGTAGATCCAGGGGTCCTCTAATAGAGGGGATTGCTACCTCACCCCCCCATGGCCCTCCCTCCTGTGGATGTGGGAGTTGGGTGGGTCCTGTAGGTAGTCCCCCTAGGTCATGGTTCCCCCTCCCCCCTGTGGATGTGGTCCTGTAGGTAGTATAGGTAGTATAGGTAGTATAGGTAGTATAGGTAGTATAGGTAGTATAGGTCCTATAGGTAGTATAGTGTAGGTAGTATAGGTCCTGTAGGTAGTATAGGTAGTATGGAAATATGAGGCTTTGCATCCAAAATGCTGTACATACCATGGAAATATGAAGTTCTCCATCCAAACTGGTGCAAATACCATGAAATTACTTTACTTCGCGTTATCCCCACCATGACATCTATACGCTTTGTTACTGGCAAATCTTCTGGCATTCTATCTGAAATATCTTCTGGCATTTTATCTGGCATATCTTCTGGCATTCTATCTGGTATATCTTCTGGCATTCTACCTGGCATATCTTCTGCAATTTGTGGTGGCATATCTTCTGGCACTCTATCTGGCATATCTTCTGGCACATCTTCTGACATTCTATCTGGCATTCTATCTGGCAAATCTTCTGGCGGTCTATCTGGCAAACATTCTGGCACTTTATCTGGCATACCTTCTGGCATTCTATCTGGCATATCTTCTGGCAGTCTATCTGGGAAACATTCTGGCACTTTATCTGGCATATCTCCTGGCATTCTTTCTGACATTCTATCTGGCGTTCTATCTGGCATATCTTCTGGCATTCTATCTGGCCGTTGAGGGCCAGCGGTGCTCACTGAGCTCGGAGGGTCCCAGGTTGAGGTCCAGCGGTGCTCACTGAGCTCGGATGGTCCCAGGTTGAGGTCCAGCGGTGCTCACTGAGCTCGGACCCTTGCAGTTGAGGTCCAGCAGTGCCCACGGCGTGCGGAAGTTGGCGAAGAGCTTGGCGAAGAGTTGGCAAGGCGGAAGTGAACATGGAAGTGGAGACAGAGGTGGTGGAGGAGGAGGAGGAGAAGGAGGAGAAGAACAACTCTGATAAAATCTAACAACCCTCACCTGGCAGGTGGGGAAATATGAGGTGTTGCATCCAAAATGCTGTAAATACCATGGAAATGAAAGATTCTAGGTCAGGGAGTAGGGGACCAGACCACCATTGGGGGGCGGGGCTACGGGACCGGGGACCGGGATCATACATGCTCTGCACATGTTCATCCGGAGAAATCCCCAGGAGCACCTGCTGTCCATCCAGCTACAAAGATGCTGCCGCTGGCTGCAAGATGAATTGCCTGATACACAGATCCAAATCTGAAATGAAATCCCAAACTCGGCCAACCCAGTGAATTCTTTTGTGAAATGGAGAAGATTCTCGGCCCCTCAACTCTGAAACATATCCAGGTACAGTGTGTACATAGGGTTTGTCAAGACATTATTTTCTTGTGCCCTCTATTTCTACTGTGCAATTCTTTTCACCAACAGCGACGCTGAAAACACGGTGTCTCGGTGGCTAAAACACGGTTATTATTCCGGTGAAGCACCTCAGCAGTGTCCTGAGCAGTGCTTCCTGTCTGATAAGTCCACTGACGCGACCCCGTGCTGTCCAACTTCATGACAAAAAGGTCGGAGTCACCAGAGCTAACAGAGCCATCCAGCGCACCATTAGTTTCACCTCGAAAGGTATCCAGAGTGAAAATGATCAGTCCAATGATTTTATGATGAGGTCAAAATGCAAGAAACACGCAACAAGAAAGATGTGTTATGCTCGAACATGGCTTGGCAGAGGCCCAAACATCCTCAGGTGCTATATCCTGTTATCATCGTGGATTGCAACATCTCACCATACCTCACCTGTGAGGAAGATGTTGCCAGAAGAATCGATTTGAAGAGCATTAGCACCATCAGCACCACTGGTCCCAGTCTGAAAGGTCCAGCTCAGTTGCTGAACCTGGAGCAAAGTGGGCAGGACTACGTGTGGACTATGGATATGCCGAAGCTAATGCGTACTGGATACATGTGCCATAGAAATCCAAGGCTTTTAGTACAACAAACTGGACCCCAAGTCATCACCACTTTACCATTTGGATCTATTTTTTATCATCGATATCCATCGATATCCATCGATATCCATCAGGAAAAGGAACACTGTCCTGTTTCCTCGCAGATGTTTCTTCAACCCCTGCAATAACGAGAGATTTGACAATAAGGGTCGACCAGCAGCATCTTTCGGGTCTGTTTTGAAACATGGAAATCTGATTCTGCATGGAACTGACAGGCCGATGCATGGATGGTACGGAACTGGGGCGGGTTTTTTGAATGGACCAACTAGATAGACATATATATATACTTCCGTGCATGGATGGATTGATGGATGGATATTTAGCTGGCTAGCACCAACACAGATGGATATGTAGGAACATTGTTGATGCAATGGACAGAGAGTGAGAGAGAGAGAGATCAGATGAGATTAGATGAAATGAGACGAGGTGATATTAGATGAAATGAGATGAGATGATGAGATGGGATGGGATGGGATTGGATAGGATAGGATGGAATGAGATGAGAGCACTGCTTTCATTAGAAATAAATGCATGTATGCATCTGTTTGTCTGTCTGTGTGTATGTATCTTCAATGTCTATATATAATATATTATGTATATATAAGTATACGTAGCAGTCTGTCTGCCTGTCTGTCCGTCTGTCTGTCTGCCTTCCTGGCTGGCTGTCTGTCTGTCTGCCTTTGCGCATCTCAGCCTGTCATGTCTGTGTGTCTGTCCTATCTGTCTTATCTGTCCTACCTGTCTCATCCGTATTTGCCTGACTCATCTGTCTTATGTGCTTTATCTGTCTTATTTGCTTTATCGGTCTTTTATAGCTATCTCTATATTGTCTCTATATATACTATGCCTCGTTTCTTACCTATTGTATCTATCGTATTGTTATCTCATCAACATTTGCCCAATTCATCTATCTACCTATCTATCGATCGATCTCCGTATCTTCATGGTCTATCAAATCCTATTCAATCCTATGCATCCTATCTATCCCACCATGCCATGTATATATCCGGTATCTATACATCTCATGCGTACAGTTCTGTTGGACAGAAAGTCGTAGCCCAGCAGCCTGATTTTATTTTTCAAACATCCAACACCCGCTGTATAGTCCCCCTTGATCCCACTCGATCCCCTTTGGCACCTTCATGACAAAGGCATCCCCTGATCCTGCATTGCTGCCACCCAGGTCTCCGTAGGAGTAGCCGGCCAAAATGACGGCCTCATCAGCGTTCAACACAAGGCCTTCCAACGTATCCGCCGAACTGCTGCCGGTCTGAAAGATTTTTTGCACAGATGAACCGTCACTGTCCAGTTCCATGATGAAAAGGTCTTCCCCTCCTCTGTTGCAGCTTCCATGCCAGGCACTTGTGGTGGTTCCACCCAGAATGATGTTGAAAGTTCCGATTGCAAGTCCCTTGATGTAGTCGACGCCTTCGGTGCCAGTCTGGAAGGTCCACTGCTGTGCGCCTGCACTGTTCAACTGCATCACAAAAATGTCCGTGCTACCTTGGTTGGTGTTCCCCAGATCTCCATTCGTCCAGCCTCCCACCAGGATGTTTCCAGAAGAATCAATCCCAAGGTGTTTGCCCTGGTCACTACCAGTGGTACCCGTTTGGAAAACCCACTGGGAAGACCCTGCATTGTTGAGTTTCATCACATAGATGTCGGAATCGCCAGCATTGGAGGAGCTGCCAAGTTGGCCCCACGTAGCACCTGCCAAGACAATGTCATTGGAAGCATCCAACTTGAGGTCATATACATATTCGTTAGAAAGGCTTCCCGTCTGGAAGGTCCATTGCGTTGACCCCGAACTGTCAAGCTTGAGGACGATAATGTCTCTACTCCCTGGATTGGGATTGGAGAAACCAGATAATGCTCCCCGTGTGTCTCCTCCAGCGATAATATTTCCTGACGAATCAATCTGAACAGCACGTAGATCATCATCGTTGGAAGTTCCTGTTTGCATCGTCCACATATGGCTGCCGACATTGTCGATTTTCACCACAAATACGTCAGTGTTGCCAGCATTCGCGCCATTTAGGGTTCCCCAGGTATAGCCAACTACAACACTATTGCCTGTGCTGGACTCAATCTGAACAGCCCGCGCTAGTTCACTAGAAGCGCTTCCAATTTGAAACGTCCAAATTTTGGAACCTGAACTGTCGAGTTTCGTCACAAATATGTCCCAAAAGCCTGCATTTGAGTTTCCATCTAAGCTGCCAGCGGTAAAGCCAGCAACTACGATGTCATCCCCAAGAGTCGCAACTGCATAGACATTTTCAAGCCCGCTGGTTCCAAACTGATTTGTCCAGCTCTCTTGTTGCGCCTGCAAAGAGCACTTAGAAAAAGGTGCATCCCTGCATGAATAAAATGCATGTGGAAACAGCATCGTGTTTGCATTTGGTTGGAATGCTTTCCCACCATCGGTCACAATGGCAGACAATGGCATCATTAGGTTCCTTAGGCATATACGTATAAACAAGATTTTTTTGGCATTTACAAATAGAATAAATCAGAACATGTTGTCTTGTCTACAATAAATGTAGGCAGAATTTGCACCACCTTTGGATATCCTCACGTGGCGCTGTCCCCACACGAAAGGTTGTCCCATGATAAGCAGGGATGTTTGGATTCCCCGAAGGCAAAAAAATAACATTAACAAATACATACATGAACACACATACAGACAAACATACAGATAATAACATAACATTACTAACATTACAAAATACATTACATTAAAAATTACATAAAGTTACATTATACAAATTACATTGCGTTACATATTACATTACGTTACAAACTACATTACATTACCTTACATTACAAATTACACATTACATTACAAATTACATTACAGTACAAATTACGTTACATTACAAATTACACATTACATTACAAATTACACATTACATTACAAATTACACATTAAATTACAGTACATTACATTACATTACATTACAAATTACACATTAAATTACAGTACATTACATTACATTGCATTACGCGTTGCATTACTTTACGAATTACATTATATTACAAATTACATTACATTAGAAATTACAGTACATTAGAAATTACATTACAAATATTTACAAATTACAAATTACAATTACATTACCAGTAGTACCGCACAAGGCGGTGGCGGAAGTTTCAAAAATAGGAAACCTATAGGAGAGATTGGTGGTTGTGAATCACGGATGGCAGAGCGAAGCCACTGATCTATCTATCTATCGATCGATCTATCTATCTTTCTTTCTTTCTTTCTTCCCCACATGACTGTGTGGGGTTCTTGTTTTTCGCTTGGATCCCGCCGGGGCTCCGCTCCTCCGCCCCCTTCTCCTCCGCCGCCTCCTCCTCATCATGCCTCCTCACTCATCACTCATTCCCTCACTCCCTCACTCACTCACTCACTCACCCACTCACCCACTCACCCACTCACCCACTCACCCACTCACCCACTCACTCACTCACTCACTCACTCACTCACAGGCGCAGTACACAGAGCCTCCTGGACGAGCTGCGTCGCGCGTGGCTGCCGCTGGGGCCGCGGCTGCCTTTCGCGTGGCAGGCGCAGTACACAGAGCCTCCTGGACGAGCTGCGGCGCGCGTGGCCGCCGCTGGGGCCGCAGCTGCCTTTCGCGTGGCAGGCGCAGTACACAGAGCCTCCTGGACGACCTACGCACACGTGGCCGCCGCTGGGGCCGCGGCTGCCTTTCGCGTGCTAGGCGCAGTACACAGAGCCTCCTGGACGAGCTGCAGCGCGCGTGGCCGCCGCTGGGGCCGCGGCTGCTTTCGCGTGGCAGGCGCCACTTATCATTCACCCCTCATCACGCACCACTTATCACATCTTTCTCATCACTTCTCACTTACCATTCTCACAGCTCACTCACCACTTTTCACATGTCACTCATCATTCACCACTCATCCCTATACACCACATCTCACTCCCCACTTATCACTGTCTCATCACACCTTATCACATCCCAACTCATCACAGCTCCACTTCTCAAACCTCACTCATCACAGCTCCCCTGCTCATCACAACTTATCACACCTCCACTTCTCACACTTCCACTTCTCATCACTTCTCACAGGTCCACTTCTCATCACAACTCACCACCACTCATCATAGCTCCGCTCATCATCACAAGCCGTCACAGCTTCACTTCTCACACCTCACTTATCACATCACAACTTCTCATCACAACTCATCACAGCTTATCACATCCCAACTCATCACAGCTCCACTTCTCACACCACTTCTCAGACCACTTCTCACACCTCACTTATCACATCACAACTCATCACAACTCCACTTCTCACACCTCACTTCTCACATACTCACTCATCACAACTCCACTTCTCACACCTCACTTCTCACACCTCACTTATCACATCACAACCCATCACAGCTCCACTTCTCACACCATCTTTCACACACCCTCTTTGACACACCATCTTTTACACACCATCTTTCACACACACGATTTTGTCACCCACCATCTTTGACACACCATCTTTCACACACCACTTTGTCACACACAATCTTTCACATACAACTTTGTCACACACCATCTTTCACACACCATCTTTCACACACAACTTTGTCACACACCATCTTTCGCACACCATCTTTCACACACATCATCTTTCACACGCAACTTTGTCACACACCATCTTTCCTCCACCTCCTCCTTTGTCTTTCCTTCCTTCCCCGTCCCCGCTACAACATTTCTGGCTCATTATTGGAAGAAGTTGACTTGTGGGGTTATCCGGTCCTTTTAGTTCGTTCTTTCTTTCTTTCTTTCGTTCTTTCTTTCTTTCCTTCTTTCTTTCTGTTCTATCTAACTATCTATCTATCGATCGATCTATCGATCTATCTACCGATCTATCTATCTATCTACCTGTCTATCTGTCTATCTATCTATCTAGCTATCTATCTATCTCATCTGTCTATCTAATTATGTATCTATCGATCTATCACTATCTATCTATCCATCTACCTATCTACCTATCTACCTATCTACCTATCTACCTACCTACCTACCTACCTATCTATCTATCTCTCCCTCTCTCTGTCTGTCTGTCTGTCTATCTATCTACCTGTCTATCTGCAAGCTTGAAAACTAAGCAAGTCTCCGAGCCGTCCTCAATTTTTGAACTTAACAACGTCAAAAACGAAACAATTCTGCGAGACTTCTGCAGTTTTTGAACTTGACAACATCCAAAACGAAGCAATTCTGCGAGACTTCTTCATTTTTTAAACATGACAACATCGAAAACAAAGCAATTCTGCGAGACTTCCTTCAAAAATAGAAAGTTAAGTGCAGCGCTGACAGCCTCGTACCAATGCGTTTTGTGATTTTTCCACTCCACCTGTCTAAAGTATTGCGCCTGCCACGAAGAAGTGATGCCAGGCGATACGAAGTGCTGCACCTGTCACGCGAAATCATCTCAGCAAACCTGAAGATCTGATGCTCCAAAATGCAACCCCTCTCAGGAAATCAGCGCCCTGACCTCCTAACATCTCTCATGAACATGTCTTTTGTACTGCGCCTGCCACGGAAAATGCATCTTTGCAGATCCTCCTCACATGTCCCACGCCTGCCCTGATTTTTGGAAATGCGACAAAACCCTCACGTTTTGCTCACTTTTGACAAGGTGCGCAATCCCTTGCGCCTGCCACGCGAAACGACATCTGAACCTCCAAAAGTGGTGCGGGCATGTGGTGCTTTGTACATTTTGACTTGAAAATATGCTTCGCGCCACAACGGCGTGCACTTTTTCGACATCTCAACTTCGAAAAGTGGTCCGACCCTGGTGTGCTTTGTACATTTTGACTTCGAAATGGGCTTCGCGCCAAAACGGCGTGCGCTTTTTCGACATCTCAACTGCCAAAAGTGGTCCGAGAATGGTGTGCTTTGTACATTTTGACTTCCAAATGGGCTTCGCGCCACAACTGCGTGTACTCTTTCGACATCGCAACTTCCAAAAGCGGTCCGAACGTGAGGTGTTTTCAGCTTTTTCACTTACAAATGTGCTTCGCGCCACAACGGCGTGCACTTTTTCATCTCTCATCTGGCCAGATGGCTCCGCACCCGCCGCTTTAGCGAGCCTACTTTTCGACCCTCCGGAGCCACAAATCATTGGAAAACACAGTGTTTCGCGACTTTCCTACCTTTTCGCGCATCTGCATCTTCTTTCTTCTGACTCTTTCTCTTCTCTGATCTGCTCTCTTCTACTCTTCTCTTCTCTCTGCCTCTGTCCAGCTCTGCTTTTCATCTGTCCATATGCCATATTGTCGGAAGGTTGACTTCTAAACTTCCTTCGACAAATTACAAATTACAAATTACATTACAAATTGCGTTACATTACAAATTACATTGCGTTACAAATTACATTACATTACCAAGTACATTGCATTACAAATTACATTTCATTACCAATGACGTTACATTACAAATTACACTACATTACAAATTACATTACATTGCGTACATACATTCATATATATATATATGTGTGTGTGTATACACGTATATTTATGTATAAGCAAACTGTAAAATTGGTTTGATTTGTTCGGTATTTAAAAACAATCAGGGATCTTTCAGCCTCAACAATGCAGCTATTGATCCACAGCAACAGGCATGAAAAAGCAACACTCACCATTGCAGATTCTTGCGGCATGTGAGCGCCAATTTTGCCACACCGTGGAAGATATAGACAACCAGAAAGGGGTTGGAATTCATGGTGTTGCAATGACGGGTGAAGAAAGTCAACAATAATAATAAAGTAATGTGTTTGTTTCACAGCCATGCGTACTGTTCTCCACGGAAACGGTCAATTTTGTTTGTGATTCCTGCTTCACCATAAATGCAAATTTAGCACGTTCGAGCGCAAAAGCGAGCACACACGTTCAAGCATTCGTTCCAAAATAACAAAATACGAGGATCTTTTAATCCAAAGGCTTTGCTATGCAAATGTAATTTCGTTTTAGTTTGCAACGAAAACACAACAAAATGCAGACCGTCGATTGCCGTGGCGTTGTGCCAAACATTACCCAAAAATTAAGGGAAAACATTGGTGTGAAAGGATTCAAATCGACCGTGTTCAAAAACGGATTTCAACACTTTTGCTCTGCGGTTGGATTTCATCCCAATCCAACCTGAACCCCCAGTCCAACTGTCCGTCAATTTTGTTCCTTTCCAAATCCACCAGGCTGCATCACCTAACGAGTGAAACAAGTAGAAAACACGGTCTGAAGCGAGTATAATGTATATACATGCAAAAACGGCTAACCACGAGAAAATGAGCCCAAGAGCACGAACTAAATTTAGAAATGCGAGGCCGATATTTTTTCGCAACAAGCACTGGTGGGTGAAACCAATGAACTTCAAAAAGCTGGCCGTAGTTATCATTTAATTTAATTCCTGCATATTTTCTTGGTCTCAGGGTTGATCACAAGCAAAATGACATGGATCATGGATCTCCCACCAGGCGTGAACTCCTCACATTGCTACTGTCAGAGCTGCTCCAAGAATTTCATCACAGAGCGTCGAAGCGGTGGCAGAATGTTTCCCTAGGAACGAATCCAAACGGTGCAGCATCAAGTCTTGCAGGCGCTTGTTGAATGCCTCCACATCCTCGTTCTTGCCCAAAACCAACTCCTGAAGCAAGGTGAACACTTAACTATCATTTAACTTATCTATACTTGTCTTATCATTGTCTCATCTTGTCTTATTGCCTTGGAAACCCGCCGTCCACGTTGATAGGGACTGGGACTCAACAGGTCTTCCGTTGCGCGGCTCAGCTCCCCCCGCGCCTTGTCTGCCGGAAAGGACGCTTCTGCCTGTCGCACATCGGAGGACGCCAAGCGTCCAAGGCAAACGTCTCTGGAGGCTCCCGAGTGAATCTTCACCGCCTGGGCACGTGCATTGTTCAAACATGGCACAGCTCATTGACGAAATATCTCTGATTCCGTGTGGGTTCTCAGGCGGTATTTATTTACTATAGGTCCATAGGTAGTATCATAAGATGGCTTCGGGACCGTTTCTGGAGAGGCCTTTTTGATATTTCGAAGGCCCCATAAGAATCCCATGCAAACCCCTGGACATTCTCAGCCAACACCTGAGACCCCCACAGGGCCCCACAAGAATCCCACTGGAACCCCACAATATTCATAAGGAGCTTCAGCCATTACCTGGAAACAATCCTTCTTGGACTCAAAATACCAAACCTTTTAGCCCTATTAATCCATACCCAATGCCATGCCCAGGTTTGGGCTGCTGCTGCAAATGGCATTGTTCTTGTTCTGTTTGAACTACCATTACCAAACATGATATGCAGCAGCCCTCGCACCTGGGAGATGTGCAAATGATCAGCTTCAACCAATTCTGCAACGCACCAAACGCGCGTCAGCAGGGTAAAGTTCACATCCATCGCAACAACCTGCTCCAATCTCACCTGTTCGGGGGAGGAAAAAATGTGGACATAGAGTGAGATGGATCGTGTATCGCGCAAATGCTTCAGAAATCCATGAAATCTAGTACGGGAGAAGCAGAAATTGGAGCTGCCACATGCACAAGTTCTTCTAATTTAGATTTTTTTGAAGTTTAGAAATAAATTCTAAAAAAATATTCTAAAAAAATAAATTTTGAGCTTGGATAAATTTAGAATTTTTAGAATTTTAGAATTGAATTCTAAAAACTACAAAAATTCTAAAAATTATAAATTAGAATTAGTTCAACTTCCCCGAATCCAGCTTTGAATTCTAACAATTTTAAAATTCAAAAAAAAAATGAGTTTGGAAAAATTAAGAATTTTTAGAATTTTAGAACTGAATTCTAAAAATTCTCAAAGTTAAAAAGAAAAAATAGATCTAAATTAGAAGTAGTTCAACTTCCCCAAATGCAGTTTTGAATTCTAAAGATTCTAAATTTTGAGCTTGGATGAGCTTGGATTTTTTGAAAAGTTTTTTAGAATTTTAGAGTTGAATTCTTCTAATTTCTATAAATTTTAATTTTGGAGCTTGGAAAATGTAGAGCTTATAGAATGCAATTTAACTTAGAAGTAGTTCAGCTCTGCAAAATAAATCTAGGTTTGAATTCTAGGTTTGAATTCAAAACAAGGTGGGCCAGAGAACCCACAAGCAAGACGGCGCACAGCACGCCTTTTTAAAAAAATCTTGCGGTGTGGGCAGCTGTGCTCTGCACGAAATCGACGCAAGATCTTTACTGACACATCGTTCGCACTGATCGTATCAGGGGCCACAATTCACCACAGCATGCTGTGCCAGCTACGTCTACATTCTTCTAGCCGGTATTTCTGCTACTGTAATTAAATCTGTCCTATCTTTCTAGTCGCTATTTATTCCTGGGTTCTCGTTTAGTTTGCTTCGCTGCAGAGGGAGCGAGGACGAAGCGTGGACGGACAGAACACCGCGCGAAATGAAAACTCAACGACGGAGGGAGTTGACCAAAAGAGCATGAAAACAAAGATATGAAGATGCCAGATGGTGAATGATCAAAAAAAATGAGACATGATGAAAGATGGGTAGAGACTTCTCTGTACAAAAGCTTCTATGCGTAAAAGCTACTGTGTGCAAAGGCGTCTGTGCGGACAAGTTTCTTTGTGTAAAAGTTCCTCTGTGTAAAGGTTTTTTTTGCGAGAATTAAAACGTCTGTGTGTAAAAGCTTCTGTGTGTAAAAGTTTCTGCGTGTAAAAGTTTCTTTGCGCAAAGTTTCTGTATGTAAAAGCTTCTGTGGGTAAAAACTTCTCTGTGTCAAGGTTTTTTTGTGTAAAAGCTTCTGTGTGTAAAAGCTTCTGTGTAAAACGTCCTCTGTGTGTAAAAGTTTCTGTTTGTGAAAGTTTCTGTTTGTGAAAGTTTCTTTGCGTATCAGCTTCTGTCTGTAAAAGCTCCTCTGTGTTAAGGTTTTGTTTGTGTAAAAGCTTCTGTGTGTAAAAGCTTCTCTGTGTAAAAGACTTCTCTGTGTCAAAGCCTCTGAGTGTACAAGCTTCTCTGTGTAAAAGTTCTTCTGTGTAAAAGCTCCTCTGTGAAAAAGCTGCTCTGTGTAAAAGGCTTCTCTGTGTAAAAGTCTCTGTGTGTGCAAGCTTCTCTGTGTCAAGACTTCTTTGTGTAAAGATTTCTCTATGTAAAAACTACTCTTTGTAAAAGCTTCTGCGTGTAAAGGCTTTCCTGCGTAAATGCCTCCGTGTGTAAAGACTCCTCTGTGTAAACCCGTCTGTGTGTAAAAGCACCTTTGTTAAAGGCTTTTTTTGTGCAAAAGCTTCTGTGTAAAAGCTTCTGTGTGTAAAATTCTCTGTGTGTAAAAGCTTCTGTGTGTAAAAGTGTCTGTGTGTAAAAGCTTCTGTGTATAAAAGCACCCCTGTGTGTACAAGCTTCGCTGCGTAAAAGCTGCTCTATGTAAAAGCTCACTGCGCCGTAAAGTTGTCTGTTTGTAAAGCCTTCTGTGTGAACGCGTCTGTGTGTACAAGATTCTGTGTGCAAAAGCTCCTCTGCGTAAAGACTTCTCTGTGTAAACGCGTCTGTGCGTAAGGGCTCCTCTGTGTAAAGACTTCTCTGTGTAAACGTGTCAGTGCGTAAAAGCTTCTCTGTGTAAGACTTCTCTTGGTAAAAGCTACTTTGTGCAAGTGGTTCTGTGCGTAAAAGGCTTCTGTGCGTAAAAGGCTTCTGTGTGTAAAAGTTCCTCTGTGTAAAGGCGTCTCTGTGTAAACGCGTCTGTGCGTAAAAGCTCCTCTGTGTAAGACTCGGTGTAAAAAGCTTCTGTGTGTGTGAAAGTTTCTGTGTGTAAAAGCTTTAAAAGTTTTCTTGTGCAAAAGCTCCTGTGTGTAAAAACTTCTCTGTGTAAAGGCTTTTTTGTGTAAAAGCTTCTGCGTGTACAAGCTGCTCTGTGGAAAAGTTTCTGCGTGCCGAAAGAGCCTCTATTTGTAAAACCTTCTGTGTGTAAACGTGTCTGTGTGTAAAAGCTTCTGTGTGTAAATCTCCTTTGTGTAAGGACTTCTCTGTGTGAAAGCTCCTTTGTGTCAAGACTTCTCTGTATAAAAGGCTTCTCTCTGTAAAAGCCTTTGTGTGTGTACAGGCTTCTCTGTGTCAAGACTTCTCTGTGTAAAGAATTCTCTGTGTAAAAGCTACTCTGTGCAAAAAGGCTTCTGTGCGTAAAGGCTTCTGTGTGTAAACGCGTCCTTGTGTCAAGACTCCTCTGTCTAAACGCGTCTGTGTGTCAAACTTTCTGTGTAAAAGTTTCTGTGTAAAGGCTTTTTGGTGTAAAACTTCTGAGTGTAAAAGCTTCTGTGTGTAACAGCTTCTCTGTGCGTAAACGTTTTTGTGTGTAAAAACTTTGCGTGCAAAAACTCCTGTGTGTGTAAAGACTTATCTGTGCAGACCCGTTTGTGCATAAAAGCTCCTCTGTGTAAGACTCGGTGTAAAAAGCTTCTGTGTGTGAAAGTTTCTGTGTAAAAGTTTCCTTGTGCAAAAGCCTCTGTGTGTAAAATCTTCTCTGTGTAAAGGCTTTTTTGTGTACAGCTTCTGTGTGTAAAAGCTTCTGTGTGTAAAAGCTTCTGTGTGTAAAAGTTTCAGTGCGCCGTAAACGCTTCTGTGTGTAAAACTTCCTGTGTGTAAATGCGTCTGTGTGTAAAAGTTTCTGTGTGATTTTTTTTGGTGTAAGAAGGATTTCTCTCTGTAAAAGCTCCTCTGTGTAAAGACTTCTCTGTGTAAAAGCTACTCTGCGCAAAAGCTTCTGTGCGTGGAGGCTTCTGTGTGTGAACGCATCCGTGTGTAAACACTCCTGTGTAAACGCGTCTGTGTGAAAGCTTCTGTGCGCAAAAGTTTCTGTGTAAACGCTTTTTTGTGTAAAAAAACTTCTGTGCGTAAGAGCTTCTCTGTGTAAAGGCTTTCCCGTGTAAAAGCTTGCGTGTTTAAAAGCTTCCGTGTGTAAAGCTCCTCTGTGTGTAAACGTTTCTGTGTAAAAGCTGCTCTGTGTAAAAGATTCTTTGTGTAAAAGCGTCTGTGTAAAAGCTCCTCTGTGTGTACAAGCTTCTCTGTGTAAAAGCTCCTCTGTGTAAAGACTTCTCTGTGTCAAAGCCTCTGCGTGTACGAGCTTTTCCGTGAAAAAGCTCCTCTGTGAAAAAGCTGCTCTGTGTAAAAGGCTTCTCTGTGTAAAAGCCTCTGTAAGTGCAAGCTTCTCTGTGTCAAGACTATATACTCTGTATAAAGACTTCTCTGTGTAAAAGCTTCTGTGTGTAAAACCTTTCCTGTGCAGTAGTTGAAGGTATCTATTTCCCACGGTTTCCCCTCCGTCGACCTTGTGTGGTCGCTTCCACCTCGCTTTTTCCCAACGGAGCTCTCCCCAAGCTATTTCCCACGGTTTCCCCTCCGTCCACACTGTTGACGCTTCCATCTGGCTCCTTCCCAACGGAACTCTCCACAAGCGGTTGTTCCCGACCCAAACAAAAAAGAAAACAGGGAAAGAAAGAAAGCGAAGACGTTGCAGACATCGAAACACGGAGAACCCAAAAGCGTTTCCCATGCATGTCCCATTGCCCAGCGTTTGGCATCCGTTTCATAAGTCTTATTATAGGCGCGCACTTTTTCGGGACAATCGCATTCATGGAATTTGTCCTGAAAACCCGGTGCCAACGCTCCCTCCCTACGCAGCTCTCCCCCAGCTATTTCCACGTCTTGGACACACAATTTTCAGGACATCGCATTGATTGAAATTGCCCCGAAAAACCCGTGCCACCCTCCCAGCCCACGCTCGTCCGGCGCTTCCATCTCGCTCCCTTGGATCCAGGGACGCTCCCCGGCGCTCCATTTCCCACAGTTTCCCCGCCGTCCACCCTGTCGTCGCTTCCGTCTCGCTCCCTCTCAGCACAGCTCTCCCATGCAAGCTATTTCCCACTGCTTCCCCTCCGTCCACCATGCATGTCCCATGGACCCGGGTTTGGAAACTTTGACAAAAGTCTTGGGCGCACAATTTTTCTGCGCAATCGGATTGATGCAATTGTCCTGAAAAACCCGTGCCAACACGTTTGCTCTTATAGTCTTGCTCCCCGCCAACGAAGCTATCGCCCAGTGTTTGCACACTGCTTGACAAGTCTTATGGGCACACAGTTTTTCGGCACATTCGCCGTTATGTAATTTGTCCTGAAACGCCGTGCGCCCAGCTATGCATTCTCACTATATCGCTTCCTCCCAACCGAGCTCTCCCCAAGCTATTTCCCACGGTTTCCCGTCCGTCCAACCTCGTCACTCCCGTATCGCTCCTTCCGACCGAACTCTCCCCAAGCTATTTCCCACGGTTTCCCATCCGTCCACCCTCTCGTCGCTTCCGTATCGCTGCTTCCCAACGGAGCTCTCCCCAGCTATTTCCCACGCTTTCCTTTCCGTCCACCGTTTCGTTGCTTCCGTATCGCTCCTTCCC